AACAATACAATTGAGCGTGTATGTGTTCTGTGGGGGGAAAGCATGAAAAATATTCAGAATTTCCATACCTACTCATTGCCAATAAGCCTAATTTTGACTTTCACTCTTGTTGACCTAGCTATTGTGGGCTGGCTGCTAACTGGAGGTCAACAGCCTCTCTGTAGCAGAAAAGAAGTGGCAGTCTGCATCAGGAAACAGTTGTAGCCTTGAAAACTCCATGAGATATTTCTACTCTGTCTTATAGTGCTATTATGCGTCTTTAGGAAACACTCTTAATAAACGTATCTAACTACAATTAACCATATTTTAAAAAAATAACTACAATGTTTTTCTATTTGTGTTATTTTGTTTAAGTTTATTGTAGGTTAGATGATGGTTTCACACTTTTTGTCCCTTTGTTTCCATATGCTTGTGGTTTTTAATGTGTTTATTTGGAGAGGAAGACAGGAGAGAAAAGAAAAGTAATGCTTTTTGGTTTCAACAGTGAGACCTTCTCTATTACATAACCATGTGAATGTGGCTCTTTATTTTCAATTATAAATGCATGGTGGTTTCTCAACCACGGCAGGATTAACGAATGAAAAAATGACTGGTGATGTAGAGAGAGAACCTGATATCTATCTATATCTACCTACCTATCTATCTATCTATCTATCTATCTATCTATCTATCTATCTATCTATCTATCTATCTATACACATCGCTGTATGTGCCAGGAGTGCATGGAGTCATTTTAAACACCCATCTAAAATATTTCCTTTGCGTTACATATTAAGAGTAAAATTCCTAGGCAAAAAGGAATAGGGACTTTCCTTAACTGATAAGTAGGATATCATTAAGAAAAATTTTTTTCTCCATCTTATCAAATTGATTTCCTTGCATTACATATTAAGAGTGAAATTCCTAGACCAAAAGGAAGAGTGACTTGCCTTAACTGATAAGTAGCAAGCATATCATTAAGAAGAATTTTTTTCTTCATCTTATCAAATTGATTTTTGCTTAAATTTTGGCTGCTTTTCCCCTTAAACTACACTTGTTATTGAACAGAGGAAGCATCAACTACTAGATATTATTAATTAAATACAATGAGATCTAAGGACAAAGTACAATGCACATTCCTCACTGAAATTGTGATTGGCCTATCATCTTTAGTTGAGATATTAACACGCTTTAAATTGTTAATTAAATTGACTTACCGGTAATATGTAGGACAGGTTTCAAATTAATCAGCCCCATCAAAATTTGAATATTCTAAAGAATATGCACTGATGCCACTATAGCTTTAATCATTCAAAGTTTTAGCAATCGGAGTAAAATCTTAATATGTATAATGAACCTGGTCAATGTTGTCTTTAAATTCTATGAAAGGAAATTTTAATTATTTTCAAATGGTTACAGAATGAAAGCATAAATCACATAAACTTATTATGTAGTATCTCCTACACATGCCTTTAACCTTTTTTTTTTTTATAGCTTGACTAGATTTTAAGTTGCTTCTGGATAAGATTCATGTGTTTCTCATATTTATATTCCTCAAAATATCCAACATAGCTTATAATAGAGTAATATACATGGTAGTAATCTGAATATTAGAAGATTTTTGCTCTTGAATTATTTTATCAATGGCATTTTAATACTCATATCCCCCTTTTCCAATGGGAATTTCTTTGAAAGACTTGATTAACTGAGACTGTTGTTTGGTTAGCACTGTCTAAACGCAATGCTTCATTTTCATTGTCTGTGGCACCTGACAGCATGCCGTGATTCCTTTCCTCTCAATCACAAGGTGGGTGTTCTAAATTCCAGCCTCTCAATCTGTGACTTTACATTGGAATAGAAGCACAATTCAGAATGTTTGCACCCTTGGATGACAACGGAAATTACGCCTTTATCTTCACTTATCTTCTGGGTCTAGAATGATTCTCCCTTCTGTTTAAATTGAGGCCAAAAATGTTCTAGTTTTTGTCACTAATGATAGCAATCAGTAACAATGATATGTGAATGCCAATTTAAATGTTATGAATATCTCAAATTATTGTGTAGAATCAATGCTCTTTAAATTACCAAGGATTTTAGTCTATTTGCTGTTCATTGAGCCAACAGACTCTTGTAGCTAAAGCTGTTTTGTGATTAACCTCCTCAGTATTTTATTTTCTGCACTTAAATTCATTGTTCTCAGAGGGAACCACAGTCTTCCAAGAAGCCCTTGGTTTAACATAGACAGGTTCGGAGCACATGCCTCTATTGATTTCCTCTGTTATAGCTCAGTGACAATTTGTTCCTAAAGATTACACTGCTATCGTATAATACTCTCCAGATAACATGTTGTTTTAATAAATCCTTCTGAACACACAAAATCTTACTTCAGATGTGACCAATAATTTGCACCGTGTAGCTGGCTCTGAATTCGGTTCTGTAACTGCATCTCTCACTGGTCCTGCTCAAGCCCACGTTCTCCCGCTCTGCACAGGATGCGAACAGCTACAAACATGGTTTGGATTTGTGAGAGTTTGCACAAAGATGTCTTGAATTGTATAGTGCAACACAATGTACAGCTATGAATTTGAATGTATAGAATATACTGCTTTTTCAAGACTAATAAAATCCCCATGCATGGGAATGCATTAAAAGTTGGGAATGTATCTGGCAGGTATTCACTAGTTCCATTTCTTTGGATGCTGTCGAATGAAATCTACTGTCCACTGGCCATTTCTATTCCCTGGTTAACTTTTAAATCGACTCTTGAATTATTTTAGAACGGCAAGCTTCTGAAAGTGATGACAGAAGACATTTCTCAAATTTTACAACATGTATATCTTCTCAGATCAATAGTCCCTCACCTCCAAAGTCATCTTTAAAAAAAAGAAAAGAAACATCAATATTTCTTTCAGCCTCATTTCAAATGACCCATTCTACATGGGTTCTCAGCCTCATGGGCTTCTGTTATTCTTTGAGAGAGATTTTACTTTTTAAAATTAACCTCAACTATGCCCATTTTAACTTATAGATGTTCACAGATTAATGTACTTTGGCATCTTCTTAGTTAGTAGAGGATCTGATTATTTGATCGACCTTTTAAATTAGTGCTAGATGACTGCTTTTACTCACTTGTAAGAGAGAGGGACCAACCCACCCCTGCTGTGGAGGCGTTTCTGATTCTCCCTGAAAGGGGAGGACGCAGCGGAACAGCTCTCTGGAATTTCTGAGACCTGAAAGCTCTTCTTTCTCCCACAGAGCAGCTGCTGGGTTCAACCTTCTGTATACAAGTCCACTGCACAACTCACTGTGCCACTAGGACTCCTAAGGGAAAAAGGCAGGTAAACAAAATTTAGCCCTTGATCTGTTTCCGTAATCGCTGACATTATACTCCAAGAGCAAGACCTCCTATACTTTATGTATGTCTCTTATGTGCTTAAGTATAAAAGGAGTGCACAAGGCTCTAAAACTTATTTCCACTACAACCATTGCTAACTTCTGAGGGCTAAATAAGAATATCAAGAAAAATAAATACATTTTTAAAAATAATGGCTAAAATGAGAAGATATGTAAATGAGCATAGGATATAAGAAAAAAAATCAGAAGAATAAAAAACACAAGATGAGTAAAAAATTTACAAAAAGAACAAAACCAAAAGAGTCAAAACAAAGGCAAGACTAACAAAGGAAAACATACGAGATCTAAAGAGTAAACATTGGAGCTAAGTAACCAGTTAACAAAGAAACTATACTGAGTAAGAAGTAATTATTTCTAAATTGAAGATCTAATAAGGAGAGATATTAAACATCAATAAATTACATAAAAGTTGGAATTGGAGATCCTATAACAAAAATAATATTCGATTATATTTGAATTATGGTGCTGGTGAAGAATATAGAAAGTATCATGGACTGCCAAAAGAACAAATAAATCTGTCATGGAAGATGGACATCCAGAAGGCTCCTTAGAGGCAAGGATGGAGGAGGATTCACCTCACTTACTTTGGACATGTGACCAGAGATACTGGTCCTCAGAGAAGGACATGGTGTTTGGTAAAGTGGAGGAGAGGCGAACAAGGGAGGCCGACAGGAAGGAATGACAAAGTGGCGACAACAATGGGCTCAAATACAGAAACAAATGTGAAGATGGCGCAAGACCAGATGGTAGAGTGTCTACCGACTCGATGGCACCTAATGATAACGGCAACAAGATATAAAAATATATCTTATGGGAAAATGTTCTCCAATAAAAGTTAATTTAAATACATTTTCATTTGAACTGTATAGAATTCCAACTTTCTTGAGTATAAAATGTCCCATGACCCACTTTTGCAATGCCTATCATTTTGCAAAATATTTCTGAGTATTAGCTTAATGCAACAATTCAAAATCACCACTGAGCTTAAATCTATGAAACATGCTAAATAAAAGCATGGTACACATAAATTAAAAATTGACTGTGATATTTAACTATATATAGTGTTAAGAAATTCACATTTAAAAAATTGTAAGATGAGGCTATTATAGTACTATTATGTTTAAACAACAACAAAAAACCAATACAACATAATAAAAACACCCCGTTGTCCAAAGTTGATTCCCACTCCTGGCTACACCGTCGGTTTCAGAGTAAAGTTGCCCTTCATAGTCTTCCAGGCCCGAACCTTACGAAAGCACATGCCAGCCTTCCTTCCCAGACTCTGCTGCGAGGTCCAATCACCCAGCTTTTATTTAACAGCTGAGAACTTAATGCCTTATCAAGGACTGTTATGCTTACAGGGAATTTGTTTAGCTCTAAAATAGCATCACACACTGGGAACTAAAGAATAAAATGAAGAAGAACACCAATAGTTTATTATCATGCTGCTAAGTACATACAATATACCCTTTGGGAAATTGAAAATACCAAAGTAATATGGCCTGTTCTTACCTTTTATAGCCCATGACAGGTGCAGTTAATTTAGAGAAGAACACACGCTTTACAAAAGCAATTAATCATTTTTATTTGTTTACATTGCACTGAAAATTTACATCATACTTTTACAAAGTTTTTTTCCATAAAAATATACTTCTTTACAAAAGTGTATGCATTAATATAAGAGGAGTAGCCAGTTGCAGAAGAAACATTGTTTAAACAAGATCTTAAATGTATTAACCTTAACATTAATGAATGAATCATTGTTATTGCAGTCATTTGAATAAACAAGAATAAATAACTGACGGTGTAAAATTTAAAACAGCATCCTGTCAGTAGAGTACAATGTTGAGAAAATTGTATGAATTTCCAAAACAATGTATCTCAAAGTGGAAATACAAGAATTTCACTAAATGCAGAGATAGATCCAAGCATCTCCTGGGTGCAATGATTGCTCTTAGAGGCACTCTGTCTCATGGTCAAAAAGTTGAGATTGTTCACAGAGTTATCCATATTTTAAAGGGACAAAACAGAGATTTCACACTGGGTATATAATTTTATTCAACAGAGGAAAACATGCTATCAAAGGAAGACAATGACCTAGTAAATAAAAATTCTGGTCTTACTCCATGGTGCACTTGTAAACAAGCCACCAATGACTTAGAGATACATATCTTAATTTGACAGGGAAATCAGCCTGCTGTACCGGGAAACTGTTCAATAAAAATAAGGGTGTAGTGTTTTTGAAATATGTGACAATTCGATCAATCCAAACTTTAGGAAACAAATTTATGTTGATGATTTAGAAAAATAATTTTAAGTCATTATATTTAGAGTATGAACCCCAAATATATTTCTAACTTACTGTCAGAAGTCTCAATAGAACATCAAATAAATTTTCAGACTTGTCTTGAAGAAAAGGTAGCTATACCATAACGTAAATATTCGACTTGTAAGTACTGTTTTGTCTTTCCAGATAATTGAAAAGCCTGGTAATGAATAGTAAGTTTAGTGTCTCAGATACCTTTAGTAAAAATCATCAATCTTATAGGACATTTTTGCCAGCCAAAGTATTTTCGGGATGAAAACAAACTGAAGCAGAGTTGACACTACGCTGTGATTCAGTGAATAATATTGGTAACCCCGTAATGAGAAAATCGCGAGGGCGGCACAACTTTACCATTTTCCAGCACTGTGACAGTGGTCGAACAGAGGACTATTAGAACACTGACAAACTAAACAACAGAAAAAGTCAAAATCAGTGTGAGCAACCATATCTCTTCAGTGGCATAAATTGGCTTATGAACATTTGAGGGTGTGACTCAATCTTAAATAACAAGGGGAGTAAGGAAATCAATCACCTCAACTAACAAGAAGAGTGGATAGCGTGTTATGGATACAGGCTTGTGGCCAGGATGTAGCTCATGATGGTTAAAGAGAAGTCAGTGATTTATTGACTCTTGTTAAGTATAGCTCTTATTTTCTACCCTATATCTTTTTTTTTAAACCCAGTCCCTCTAATATAGTTTATAAAGCACAGAAATACTGATAGTGGATGCTCCTCCAATATATGCAAATAGTTTATGTTTTAGAATAATCTCCTTTTTTAAAAAAGCAAATAAACGGTGAGTAAGCACTCACAGAGTGCAGCCAGATTTCCGTAAAGCTCTCCATGGTGAACATGAAGAAGAATTATGGTCCAGTTTATGAAAAACAAAAACAGAAAACACTCTTCTCTATTATTTCTCAGGAAAAGGTGACCTAGCAAGTCCTGAAAAGTGTGCTTTAATTGGTTTATCAGTGAACTACATGTGCACTGTGGTGTGTTTCCATTTCCGAACCTCGGGGAAAAGTCCACGTGTGGCTGTGTTATACCATTGTGCAGACCGTGTTCAAGTTGGGGTCGAATCGAACCGCCTTCCCTTCCACGGACTTCGCGTTGGTGTCGTACATGGGATTTTCGAACGCGGCTTGGCCATTGTTGTTTTCATGAACTGAGCATCCTGTGTACTGTGTTTTCGGTGCAGTCCTGTGAAGGAGAATCTTGATTAGCTAGAAGTTCACTTTTCTCTGGAAGTAGCAGAGTAAGGATTAAATAGTAACCACTTGAGGTGTCATAATGAATAACATAACGACACTATTGAGAAATCATAAACTCAGTAAGTCAAGTTTGAACATCACTTTACGATCAGAACTTTTATTTTCATCTGTCTAAATGTCTCTTTGTATGTAGTGCCATCTGTGTAATACGCACAGGTGCTGCGTTAGGTCCTGGGAGTTGATTTTGACCTAGAGTAAACCTACAGGAAGCACCATACATTTGCCCCACAGGGTTTTAAAGGCTGTAAACTTTAAGAGTGCAGGTCACCAGGTCTTTCCCCTGTGAAGGTCCAGGTAGCAGATTAGAGTTTAAGTATTAAGCCATTAAGGCTCTTGGCTACAAATACCGTATATACTCGTATATAAGCCGAGATTTTAAGCACATTTTTAATGCAGTTTTTGTGGTAAAATTAGGTGCCTTGGCTGATATTCCAGTTGGCTTATACTTAAGTATATACGGTATGTATCAGGAACACCACCATACTTTTTCTTCTAATATGTTTTTGTTATTTGCATGGTCATATGTTACTGTTACAATGAAACTTTATATCATTCATATTTACTCATTCATTCAACAAATATTTACTAAGCATACCAATCATGTGCCAAGAAATATTCTAGGCACTGAACATATCATTAAAAATAAAGTTATGATTCACATAGATGTAATATTGTGCTAAGGGAGAGAAGTGAGCAGACGAAAATTATAAACAATAACAATGCTAAGACTATGGGCTGCTGTGATGGGGAGGAACTGGCACTTTAGGAGAGGCAATCGGGAAACAAGAGACTTGGTTTCGCTGTTGTTCAGGCGCTGGCCTCTTAGCAGCCAAGCCTGTGTTTCAAATCAACCAGTCACTCCACAGGATCCAGACGAAGCTGTCCATACCCATAAAGACCTATATAAATCTATAAAGAAATATATATCTAAGGATATATAAGGTCCCTATGGGTCAGAGTTAACTCCATGGAAATAAGTTCATGTCTGGTTTAAATAAGGAAACATAACTCTGAGCATATAAAATTGAACTTCCAAAATGAAGGGCAAGGCAGAATCATTTCTGCACTATTAGGGACTGGAAGATTCTGGGAATTGAAACCATCTAGCGCTGAGGCCTAAATTGGAAAAGTACTTGAATTTTTCTAGAAGATAGGAACACCTTATTTCATTTTAAGTATGGTCTGTATTTAAAAAACAAAAAACACCCAAAGCCAGCAAGTGCCAGCACTCTGAGAGACAGAGTGGGCCTCTCCCCAGGGTTTCTAAGGCAGCCTTGCATCTGCGGTACACGGATCGGGTCACTGGAGTCAGAACTGCCTCTCTCCCCCTGGCAACAGCGACAACACAGATTTCCGAAATAGACAGCTGTCTGAGCTCCTGAGGACAGACAGCACAGTAAATAAATCTGGAATCTCATGGGAGAAGTAACTATGCAGGTACAGGAAAAATCATTTCGCAAGAGTTACCGTTCAGTAGACAACTGTCTTTGACACACGGTGTCCTGCATGGCTGGTGCAGGTTGCGGTTCTTGAAATCCTGCTTCATTTTCTAAGTCCTGTCACCTTTGATTATTTTTTATTCTATTTTCTGTTTCTGATATCTCACTGTATAATTTTTTGACACTGAAGATGGAAGAAAGAGAAAACTTGTCCTGTCCTATATCTTGGATCTAATTCCTCAAAGAGATTGGGGGAAGGGTCTTTTAAAATACATGCATTTTCACCTCTTTGTTTTACCAAATACCACACACATCAAATATTAATTTAATGTAATTCATTAGATGGAACAAAAACATATACAATTATGTGTCTAGAAAATAATGTATCACTATGTCAAAAATATTTCCCTTCATTTTGTTGCTATCAGAGATTGTTTTCTGATTTACAGGACAAAGGGTTCTTTTTGTTTTGTTTTGTTTTGTTTTTTAAGAATAAGCTCTCTTAGTTGCCTTCAGTTTCATAGGATTCACAATTTGATCTCCCTGGGAGCATATATTGCAATGATTCTAATAACTTATATTATTCTATTTCTCAAATTGAACTCACAATAAAATCCAGATCAACTAGATTTTCTTCTAATAATGCAAGAATCACAAAGACATAAAGGAATTTTCCTTTGCTAATAGCAAGCAACGATATTAAGGTAACTAAATACCAAGGTCTAAAAAAAAAAGAAGTTGGCGTAGCTTGGTTCTGATTAAATATAGAAAGGATTTTTCCTTACCCATTAATTAAATCTAACAGTGGTCAGACCTAAGCATCCGCCAATTATTATCCATCTTTGTGATATTATAAATTATTTTAATGATATTTTTGTGATATTCTATTATATTATAAATCTTTGTGAAATAAACCAGTCTTCCTAATCCAAACCCAATGCATTGACTCAGTGGCCCTATAGAAGAGAGCAGAACTTTTCCTCAGAGTTTCTAACCCTAAGTATTTATAAAGCACACAGCCTTAACTTTCTCCGGAGGAGTGGGTGGTAGATTCAAACAGCTGGTCTTATCGTTAGCAGCCCTAAGCTCAACCTACTATGCCACCAGAAAAGTGGCATTTATATTAAGACTCAAGGTGCCAAGGAGTCCCTGCTGACTGACAGCGATCCCCTCTGGGATTCTGAAGCTGTAACTCCTTACAGGAGTATAAAATCCAATCTTTCTCTCATGGAGATGCTCGTGGTTTTGAACTGCCGGCCATGTGAAGCCCATCCCAACACGTCATAAGCACCACACCACCAGGGCTTGCAAACAGAAACATTTCTTGCTAAGAATACATTTAGGCAACAGTTCATTTAATTATCTAGTTTCCTACATATATTTCCTTGGTAAAGATAAAATTTCAATAGTGGAGAACTGTGTAACAAAGCACCTTATCAGAGTGTCCTAGTAGATTGTGGAAGGACCTCACAAATATAGTAATTATTTAATCTTCAAAAGGCAACAGGAAATGGAAAAGAGGATTGGAGGATTTACTCTATGTCTATTTAAAATCAGCAAGTTTTGTAACAAAAACTAACAAGGTAGTGCACAGCTTATTCTTAGTTCTCTAAATAAATCTGGTAGATATGTCACCCCTCCTATTTAAACCTTAACCTAGATGCTTCGTCCCTATCATCTCATTCATAATGTAAAAACAACTTGCACCTTTAGTTCTGTATTACACAAAGTTTGGCTGAAAAAGTGATGAAGGGTTGTTGAATGCTTGTAAACTTGAAAGAACAATTTTTAATTTTGTTTTCCCACTGTGCAAACGGTTCAGTGACTGAAGCCCATGGGGTAAAGCCAGGCACTGGTTTGGGGTTCCAGTTTGCTGTGGCATGGGACACTGTGAGAGGCCCATGGGATCGTACCTGCCATCAATCCAAACCCATGCACGAAAGAACAATTTGTTTGTAGATATAGGTGGAGAAGGGAGGTGGGAAATATTTCAAGCTAATGTGTTAACAGTTGACTCACAGAGGTTTCAAATATAATGCTTACCTTTGTTTATAAAGATAAAATCCAAATCCTGCAAATATAAGTGCAAAAAAAGGCACGAGAATAGCAATGGCCACTGAACTACTATTTGTACCATGAGGTTGATTTGAAGAATTTGAGCCTTCAGACATATTCAATCCTAAAAATAAATAGAGAAGTAAATAAACAAACACGCTACAAAATATGAAACCAACTCTCTCTGTCTTGCATTCAAATCAATCTCTGCTTTCATGAAACCGTTTCTCCCTTTCTCAAGGTACCTGCTTGGACAGGTGTATAGCTAACAAAAATAATTAACAGATTATCTTCAACTTATTTCTACAAAATTTTGCAGAATGACTACTATATATATTTTCCAAGAAAAGAATACTCAATAAAGATAAATAAGTCAAGCCAAGTTCTTGAACTACGGTCTTTACACCCTAACTGGATGACTGACAGGCACAGAGAAGGGGAATGCAAAAAGCATGGGTTACTGGCTGATGCTTTCCAGGAAGAAAAGGAGTCATTCAATTCGGTGGCACCTAAGAACATTTTCTGGGACAGATATGGCAGGTGGATGGCAAGGGCAATGACATCTATGTGGAGAAGGCCAGCGCCTGGTGCATCTGTGTGAAGGAATGCAGTAGCGGCTGGAGGCTAGAAAAATCAACTATGGTTAGACTGTGACATGGCACCCATGTCATTTTAAAGAGCTTAGTCTTTCTTCCCCACCTGTAGTAAGAGGCAACTGAGGGTATTTAGGAAGGGAAGAGAGGAAATTCAGAACGAAGATTCAGGTAGCTTTGTGTTTAAGAAGTACAGACTGGAAAACAGTTGTTAGAAAATAACCCAGTTAATTTGTAGCCCAAAAAACACTTGGGGGTGGGAGGGTTGGGCGGTTAATATTTGAACCAAAGCAGTAGGAACAGCATGAACATATAGATTAGGAGGATATTTTATCAATACAAACATGCCATTGACCTTACTACTTTTAGATATACGCCGATCCTGTTTTCTTCAGAACTTGCTGTTGGTCTACTGATGGGTGAATACAACATGCGTGAGGACGAAAGGGGCGGGAAGCGTAAGATTAAAAGTGTTCTACTGGAGACAGCATAAATGGCTCTGGGTGGCAGGGACAGAAGCGGCAAATGATGGGAGAAAAGCCAGGTTTATCACTGTGTTGGCACAGTGATAGGAAAAGGAGAAATACGCAACAGCTCTTAAAAGAAAACAAAATTTCCTTTTTCGTAGGCTCTATTTTAGATATACAAGGGAGTACCCCCAAAAAACCATGCTCATTTGTTTTGTTTTGTTTTATGTGAGGGGACAGTGCATTTGGAGTTCGTTCCACCAGGGCAGATTGTTAATCTACCTTTCTCTTTAGAGTTTCTGAAAAATTTGCATAACATTACGTGACCAAAAAAGTCTGATTTGTGGCTGAAGGGGAACTGGTTTTGCCACCATGACAACACACCTGGCTCATGAGCCATCTCAGTATACCAGTTTTTGACAAAAAAGCCAGCATGCCTCTCTTTCCCCATGTATCTTACTCTCCTGACATAACTCATGTGACTTCTTTTTGTTTCTGTGAATGCAGAGGGACAGGAAAGGACAGTGATTTGAGGACACAGAAGAGAGATGAAGAAAAAATGAGGGAGTGCTGTCAGCCATCCAAACAGAGGAGTTGAGAAATGTTTCCAAGAATGGAATCACACTTAAATGTATTAAGTGTAATGGAGAGTTCTTTGAAGGTGATCAGGTTGTTTTGTAAACAAAACAAAAAACATAGCTTTAGGGGGGGTGTCAATATTTGGGGGCTACCCCCACGCATAGTGTTTTAGGTGGTATCAGGAATATAACTTGAAAATAATTCTACATTCAACTTCACAACAATGTTCATGAATACTTATCCTACTTTTATGAAAAACATTATTTTAGGCAGTGAATTAATCTTAAATGTAATAAAGACTACTCTGTGGATGGTAGGGCTTAATATATTTTATAATTTATGTAGTGATTTCAGCCTTTTGCTTCTCAAGATCAGCCTCTCCTTCGCCTACTTCTTAGCATCATTGTGGCTTTGGCAGCAGTGCTTTTTTGTTTGTGATTGGTGATTAAAAATTGGAGTGGCCAACATTTGCAGTTCAACCTTGTAATTCAAATAAATATATAATATTTTATTGCGCTTGTAAAATGAATAAAATGTCATTTTATTATCCGTTATATTTATTCATCTAAATATAGTTATATAGATAACATTTGATAGTTACATTTAACTAAGTCCCAACATAGTTTTTTAATTTTATTTTTAATAGTGCCTTACATCTAGACTGTTTGTTACCAGTGACCAGATATAGTTTTGAAAAGTTCAAGCAATGGAATTTTCAACAAAACCTGTTTAAATAATAGAATTTAAACCTGATTCCATCCTTTACATACCAACATTACAATATAAAAATGGGAGAAAGTGTGACTTATGAAGGCTATACAACAAAAGCTAAATTAATAAATTTATTCCAAAAAGACCATCAAAATATGTAAACATTTTAGATAATTTTGGGGGCAAATGATAAATTCCGTGCCTCTTAATAGGCAACATTTACATAATGAAGCATATGAATTCCTGAAAAAGGGGTCTCATTGCTGAAAGCATTTTCCTTCACGATACCCGACGGGTTCGCAAAGGACATGGCGTACTTGGAACTGAGAGAAGCGTATCAACATTCAAACTGAAGAGAAGCATCGCAGTTCTCATGAGGTAAGATCAAATAATTTATAGTTTAATATTCTCTTTTTTATCTATCTCAGTTTTTCAACTCTTTACTTGCTTAAGGGCAAGTCCGTTTGGCAGGATTATTAGAACTATTGTGAACAACTAAATAGTGCACAGAGTTGATACACAGACAATGGATGTACTAAAGCATGTGATTATTTTAGCAGTCTATCCATGTATGGTCTTGACAATGCAGAATACAGAATGTAGTAAGGGTATTCAATGTAGAAAACACACTAGATTTCCTTGCGATGGCTGGGCTAAGAGGGGACCACATGAAAATGAAAATGAATACATTACCTAGTCTCTGAAGTCCAAATTGCCCATAATCTTTGCCCTGAATAAATCCTTGAAATACATAAGTAGCGCCATCAGGTTCGGCAGAAACCTAAAAGTATTTAAAAGTCTCATTAATCTGCAAAGTGGGCATATCAAGATTTTCCATCTTTAATAAATATTCTATTTTATTTAGTTATAACTATTATGCAGATTTTTTCCCTCTTTACTAAAACCAAACCGACTGCTACTAGTCAATTTCTCCTCATCATAACCTTACAGCATAAAATAGAATTATTCCATAGGGCTTTCAAGGCTATAAATCTTTTATTTTTGAAAGCTTATTTATTTTTACATAAATATTTTCATTGGGACTTAATCCAAATATCATACATTTCTATTTATAATATTAATTATATCAAGTTATACAATCATTACTAAAATCAATTTTAGAGCATTTTCTCCTTTCTTGTACTCCTTGGGATTAGCTCCCCATTCCCCAAGAACCTCCTTGGCCATATTCCCAATGAACGATTATCCTGCATTTCATATCCTGAAAACATACAGAGGCAAAAAAAAAAAAATAGAGTTAAAAAAAAAAAAAGCTAAAAACAGTGAAAAAATAAAATAAAGAAAAACCCCAGTTGAAAAGAAAATATTAAAACTAGGACAACTTTAAAATGGGTCACAAGAGAGATCAAATAATAAGGTGTTAGATTTTAACCTAACAACATCTGCCCTAATCCACTTTCAACACACTCTGTGAGAACAAGGTGACTCACGTCCCTGGTCCATGTTCACAGGGGGTTCCTCTGAGGCTGACTCCATTTGTATTTTCCCCTGCACTTTTACAAAGTTTGTTTAGTCAACTGATAGAATTTGTGAAGGGGTCAAAAGGAGAATCAAATCAGATGTTATATTTTGACCTGGCTGTATCTGTCACCACCTCTACAGTACTGTCTGTCTGCTACAAAGGTTATGCACATCCTTCGCCTATCACTGGAGGCCTCAGCTCTGTGTGGATTCTGCAAATGGATGTGGGGCTTCCACGCTCATCCACAGCCTTCTGCAAACCAGGCATTCACAATGGAAAGAAACAAACACAGCTCTTTTCTGTGGAGCAACTGGTGAGTTTCAAACGCCTTTTGTTTACCAATTGAGAGCTTTAACCTTGGCACCTTTCCTCTTTTCATCGATATTCCCCGCAAATATGAAACATAGAATATCATGCAAAACATGCCATCTTTTAAAGCATAATTCTAATTTAAAATAACCATAAAGAATAAAAGGAAGTTGGTTGTTTATATAAAGATATAAGTGCATAGATTCCTTATATGCTAAGAAAACCATTGTCAAAAAAACCAAAACAACACAAAAACAGTGATACAGTAAAATAGACTAAAATTTAGCTCGATTCATACTCTACTTTGTAGACTTAGGCACCCTGGTGGCATGGTGCAGTATACATAGACCTACTGGCCACAAGGTCAGCTCCAAGGGAGAAAACAGGCGGTCTACTCTCAAAACGATTTAAACTCTCAGAAACCCCAAGTGGCAGCTCTACTCTGTCTTGTAGGGTTGCTATGAGTCAGAATCAACTCGATGACTTTGGGTTGATTGGGTTAGTTGTAGATTAAATTCTTGACCAGCAAATGCACACTCCTTGTGCCTTGCTGACCTCCACTTTCAGGGAGTATGCTTTCCATCTCAGTGTTGGCCCTGGCCTCCTGACACTTATAAGCCAACAGAAAGTGAGTAGAACTTACAGTCAGTCCCTTCCAAGCCTAGCTTTTTAATAGACTTATTTCTAGTTCTCTATCTGACCATGTTTGACCTTTAACAAGAGACGAAAATGCCCTATGGGGCTGCTTCTCTCTAGCAAGGGTTACAGCATAGAATACGTGAAGCAGACCTGAACTTGATATCACAGCTTCTAAAAAGCTGGACCCACAGTTGGACCTAGACAGAGTAAAAGGAAATAAATGCTTACTGTCATTTGTCCCACATATTTTGTGACTGTGCCCAATGCTACAAGTATTGCCTAAGAAATGCAATGTATTTTGACATATAATTTTATACTTTAAAAGTTCTTCATATGCATAATATCATGTGATTTCATATGGATAAAATAAGAATTGGTGCATTTTGTTGATCCTGTTGACTAACTGGTAATGTGAATTTACCCTGAATTGTGTTTCAATTTGTGGCAATTAACTTTTTAAGCAAATGACAGAATAGCAAACTTGAGATGGAAATTATTTTCTTTACAAAGAAGCTTACTGAAACCGATGACCTACTATCTACTTTCCTTGTTAAAAAAAAAAAATCCTTGTCTTTGTGAGATAGTTAAAGATTATTGTGCTAATCTGGCCAATAAACTCATGTGGAGTTAATTTAAGGGTAGAGAGATAAATGGCTCCATGAGCCTCGCGTTTCTAGTTCTCGGGTCTCTTGCTTTGTGATGGTTGGACCAGGGTGCAGCTGCCTTAGCCAGTTCTCTGCTTCAGCTGGCAAGGCTCACTTCCTGCAGGATATTCCCAAGAAGAAGCCACATGGTCCTACCCCGATGCAGCCCTGGGTGCTGGAGCAGCCGTGTGGAGACCCCTTCCAGCGCTGAGATGCTTACACGTTCACTGATTTGGCTTTCCTCCTGCAGTCGGCATCATTGTGTGCGTTTTGTGAGATGAAGGAGGGCTTTCTCGATTGGTGTCGGGCATAGGAGCTAATGTTGGAGTTGAGGGCTTAGGGAGCACTAGGTTGGGATGTTTTCTTGATGTGCACTTAACCTTTATATAAAACCCTCTCTTACACATATGAGTTTCTGTGGATTTGCTTATCTAATGTACCTAGACTAACACAGTTTGGAAAGGACATTGTCAGAACCCATACCAGTTTTTCAACAAAGAAGACTACTGGGCACATATTGCTTTACTGTCGAGTTAGAACTCCGTTCACTTTGATGGCTGAATGGGGCAGGCAATTCCATAGTGATGCTCTAACTGTGTCTCCAAGGAAACAACTCTCCTACATCCCTCTTCACTGAAACCTTCATGAAATACACTCGCCCTGCGATTCACCTGAATAGGGAGATTACATTTTTCTGATGCATTTTGTTAATGTATTTTACATACCTTAAGTAGCAGTAACAGAAAAAGACGTGACTAAAGACTTTGAATTATAATTTCCTAAAATGTATTTATGATAGTATAAATACAGAAATTATCTGAGAATACCAATGAGTATATATAAACAAAGTTAGAAATGTGTAAATGGAGATAGATTGGTAGATAGTCACAGAGGCATCATTAAAAAAATCAAATCTCATCAAATTATAATGATACTAGGTTCGATACTGAAATATTTATGCAATATGTTTATACTCAAGAAAAAAAATTGCAAATATTGTTTTCCAAAATGATTTACCTTTGTATAGTAATTGTATTCTATTTTTAAAATCCATAAAAACTCATACTTAAGTAAATTTAAAAGATTTTATTTTCCTGGACAAGAAAAAAACACAAGAAACCCACACTCACTGCCGTTGAGTGAATTCTGCCTCATATGACGTTAGAAGCTAGAGCAGAACTGCCCCTGTCAGTTTCTGAGGCGCTAAATCTTTATGGGCGCAGAAAGCCTCGTTTTTTTTTTTCTATTTTCTGGACCAACTGGCAGCAGATTTTTCATGAAAACAAGCAGTCTGTTTTTAAAGAAATATACTTACAAAGCCATCCATGGCCCAATTCTCCTCCTTCATTTTCTTCACAGAAGCATGAGCTGGTACTTTAATAAGATAGATGTGTAGCATTAGGCGAGCTTCCTGGCTTTTGTACACCCCTGGAAAATGTAAGAACCTTTGTGTTGATTTGGGATTGTAAATATTTGTGGTTCTAGAACAGCTTTAATATATTACGGAAGTTAACTGACAGGATAAAAATTAAAACAAGATTCAAATCCAGGACTATGTCATACATGATTGCTAGTAACACTGTAATCTTTTTCATTTACAACAGTTTTATTGGCATATACTTCACATCTCACACAATTCAACATATTAACCATGTGGAGAAGTATTGTACACTCATTACCACCATCAACTTCATCTCATCCTCAGTCTTGTGAACTCCATATTAAACCCCATCACCCCCTGCTGTGCCCCTAGGTGATTATTAATCCAGTTACTATCTTTATAGATTTACCTATACTGGATTTCATATACAGAAAATGATATCAAACACAAACAAGAAGCAAACACACACACACACACACACACACACAAGGTCTAGACAAAGAAAAATATTAGTTGAAAAGAAAGCAGAAAATATTAAAAATCAAATCTATGTGTGGAATTTGCAATTTGATTTGAAGCTTCCATTGTCATCCATATCCTTTAGCAAACCGGATGCTCACCATTCCTTCATTCAAACTTGGAACTCATTGTTTAAAATCCATGGATCAGACAAGCTGATTAGCTTCTTCCATGTTGACTGAGCTGACACCTCACTTTGATGGCTGCGATGTCTTCAGACAAGGCTCTCAGAACCCCGATTCTATTCTTTCTGAGAGCCATGCACCATGTGGTTTCTTCACCACACTTTGCACCCATATCTTCAGTTATCTCTTCATGATCGTTCTTAGACTGGAGCTAGACTTCGCCATTCATATATTCATTCTCCCATTCATTCATATAACTATGGTTGGTTCGCTTTATAGACATCATCATCATTTTAGTTAGTGCACATTATCAATCATTCCCCTGGGGAATAAGGTCATTCTATTGATAGTGTCATGATGAAGCCATTGGCATAGAAGTTATAGAAGTAAAAATATCATTAAGAAAAGGAAATTGTACATCGTTTCTTGATGTACAAATGCGCTTTACACAATTGATGTGTGTATGGATTGGGATAACAGTTGTATGAGCCCCTAATAAAATGTTAAAAAATAAAAAAAAATAAAACTAGAAAAAAAAGAAAAAGAAAAGGAAATTGTACAAGTATAGGCCAGCATATGCCTACCTTAATTCTCAATTGTAGGGGCTAATTATCTATACTGTTATAATTGTTATTGCTGGCCTTAATAAAGTTATTCCAAGATAATTGAAACAAAATTATTTCTTTTCTCAGACTCTAAAGTCTTAAAGAGCATGCATCAAATATTAATTTTAAAATATTTACTATAATGATTAATACAATACGCCAAAAAAAGGGAATATTCTGCGTTCCATTGAAGGCACACATATATGTAACAAAATACATATCATTCCTAACCTTAATGACTTGCAATGACATTAAGACATGTATATCAGAAATACGACCAGCTAAAACACGTAAAAGAAGGCGATGGCTGGGAAATCAGAAGAGAGAAGGTTCATGACACACTGGGCTGGCAAAACAAATGTTTCTTAGAAAAAAGACCATTTAAGCAGGGTCTTGGTAATAAAATCGCACTAGAAGAGCAGAAAAGGAAAGTATAGGTAAGTGTATAAGGCATAGAAACAAAAATTTATACAATGATACTTTAAATTTGTTTCTTAAACAATAATGATCTAAGAATAGGAATAAGAATAAATGTGTTTAGGAGAATAGTAGAAAATAATGCTCAAAGTAAAAATAGGTATTAAGTTATTGTTGAAATTTAAGATTCCATTCATCATTAACTTAATTATTCATCTCTGTTATAAAGCATGAAATAGAAAGACAAGAAAATATAGATTTTGACCTAAAGCAAATTACTATTAATGGGGGAAATATATAAAGTAACATTTTTCTGGAATATTTAATAAATACTATGTATATTATGGTAAATGAAAGCAAGTGAAATAATCTACTTAATCATATTTATTTCTATATTTATAGGGATATGTTTTCTAAGTTAGGATAAGCATGAACTTATTTGTGGCTTACTCTTTTACAGAAAATGAAGAATCTCTTTATATTAAGTGAGTAAGTTATCAAAAGTTAATTGAGTTTTCCTCATTCATGTAAAACTTCTTTGAACTTATATCATGCAGGTGGATATTTAGAAATAATGTGTCTTACATTCTAATATTTTTATTTTGGGAATAATGTAGACTCAGTCATTAATAACATTTCTTCTAAAATAAAAAGAAATTATTAACATTTCTTCTAAAATGCCATATATACCATCAATTATTTACTAGTAACCATATATATTTTCATGTTTGAAATGTAAAATTTCCTCATATGTCATTTTCAAACGTGATGGGGATCTTTCAACGCTATTATTTGGATAGTTCATTACGATCTATTTTGTTGCAGGTGTCCATCTGCCCTCTGTACTTCTTAGAAGGCAAAGAGATTCCCTCTTTGAGTTTATATCATCAGAATGTCGACAGACAATAGATTTAGTCCTAAGTGAACAATGCAGCTTCCAGTAGTGAAAAGGAGGAAATCAAGAAGGCGGAAAGCCAGGTGAAGGCTGCTTTCGGCTCAGCACAGCGCACAGCCAGAGAGAAGGCATCTGGACAAGAAAATCCGCATGAAGACGAGGAGAGCAGACGTCAGCCATGGCGCCGCGGGTTCCAGGGAGAAGAGACGGGCATTTGAGGGAAAGGCTAAGTAACATGGATGGTTCTGGGTCTCATGTCCAATTATGCTAGCTTAGCTCCATCTTTTTTGTCTTATATCGGGTATGAATCTAAGCATTTCTGAAGAAATTACTGTGTTAGGAGATCATTCTTCTAAAGGGAGTGCTGCCCTTTAGTCTCATGGGCACAGGGAAAGTTTCAGTTGTACGAGTTAAAGGTTTTGTTCGAATTTATGTTTCCCCTTCTAGCTGTACAAAAGTACTCTGGGTGAAGGGAGACGTCGGACAGGGCAAGATATGACAAAATACCAATTTATAAACTATCAAGGGCTCATGAGGGAGGGAAAACCGGGGAGAGAGGGAGGGGGAAAATGAGGACCTAATGTCGGGAGTTTGGGTGGAGAGAAAATGTTTTGAGAATGATGTACAGATGTGCTTTACACAATTGATGTGTGTATGGATTGCGATAACAGTTGTATGAACCCCTAATAAAATGTTTAAAAAAAAAAAAGTACTCTCCAGGTAACCAGAGGTTTATAACCAGGTTTTTATTTGTGTAGTTATATCCAGCTGTTAATCCAACAACTGAAGAGCATCATTTCTGACTGCATTAGGTATTCACACTCAATACAAATATAGCACTTATCAGATTGTCTAAAGATCATCTAGAAAAATGAGTCAAAGATGTTGACAATGAAGGAAAAGGCCTCATGTTATTTTCAGATGTCATACCTGAAAGAAGCAGTTCCATGTTGCTATTACTAAGTGTGGCATTAACACTCCCAGTAGAAGCATTGAAACTAGTAACGGTCAAAGTCATGGGTTGCTTCCTCCCTTTGAAATTGTAAGAACCTTTCCATATGTAATTTTGAGCAAAGACATCATCAGGAACTGTGAACAGATTAAATAAACATACACATTAATTTCACAGTGCCCTATAAATATAAGCATTAATTAGGAGATTAATAAAAATCACTAGATAGTATAGCGCCATTATACTAAAGACACAGTATTGATGAAAACACATAATGAAATGAACCGTTCATTGAAAAGTGTTTCAAATCATTAGGATAAATCAAAATTGTAATAACAGATTTATTTATGATGATATCCATGAGAGAAAAATTGATAAGACCAATTAGAGGCTCTCCTTGTCATCGAATTGATTCTGACTCATAAAGACCTCATAGGACAGAGTAGAAATACCCTTGTAAATTTCAGAGACACAACTTTCTCCTGCAAAACTGTGGGTGGCCTTGAACTGCCAAACTTGCAGTTAGCAGCCCAACATGTAACACATTACGACCAGACGAAAGTGGATTTGGTTTTTAATTAAAAGCATCAGGCTTAGGTTTAGAACCCAGCTAATTACCAAGTTCATTCTTATTTAATCTCCTATAACAATATCCTTATTTAACAAGGAAAATAAAATTATTTTATTGAACCAAGTCCATCACTATGCAAGTCCCTTAGAGGTCTATTTTTTCTTTTATCAGTGGGAATAGGGCCATAGGGAGGAAAACACATAGAATTAAAAATAATAATCATTGAAGAACAGCCCTCAAGGACTGTCAAGGAATTCTTTGGCCACCACTCACAATATTGAATTTAATGACGGCAATAATAGATGATCCTGGGTGAACGTAGGACCATGGCGCTTTTACAGCTTTGAGGTTTAGGGTTACAGACTCTTTATCTATAAAAGAATCACTGTGTCTGTAATTACTTAATTCTCATGGAAAAAAGAGAGGGCTTGTGGTAAAATCAGATAATAAAAATTTTATGAACATTTATTTTAAAAGGAGACCTCTATTTTAGATATGATCATGTAATACTTATAAGAGTAGAAATTTGTTCTCTTGTTTATAATTATATAAATCAGTTATGTCTAAATTTACTCAGATACTAATAACTAGGATTCTAGCATTCATAAGCATGAATCTCAGGCTATACAGTAAGACATATTAATTCCGAAATCAGCTTTGCACTCACGGTCATTGATTGTCAATTTGACCCACAGTGACTCTCTAAGGCAGAGTAGTTTCCAAGTCGTTTCCCTGTAAGTTTCCAAGACTGTAACGCTTTATAGGATTAGACAGCCAATTCTTTCTCCTATGGACTGGCTGGTTAACTTGAACTGCTAAGTTTGTGGTTAACGGCTTGATGGAGAACCACTACGGCACCAGGGCTCCTGAGCTAGCCAAAAAATTAAAGAAGCAGAAACTTGCTGTCATGGAGTTGACTCTAACTTACAGGACAGGATGAAATGGCCTCTAACTCTTCGCGAGAGTACCAAGAACCCTGCCTATTGGGTGAGTGACTAGAGTAGATGCAGGAAAGAGCCATTTAAGAAAAAAGTAAAAACAAAAATACAAGATATTGAAAATGTATTAAACTAATCTTCCCTTTCTCCATAATATTTATTCTCACTAAGATTACAGAGACTAGGGTTTCAATTTGTGCATTCCCCGAATTCTATTCAGCAAAGCAATAAAGCAACACTATTGTCAAAGATCAACATAGAACACCCTCAAGATTGGAAACTCTACTGAATGTCTCAATTAGAATTATTTGGATTTCTATTTTAATTCATAAGTGCAATAACAGAAGGTTTAAAACTACAGGCACTAGAGTTAAGCTGCTTGAATTTCAGGCCCATCACTGAAGACTATGATTTTCCAGGAATTACTAAACTAAATTTGAAATTCTCATAATTAGTATAAGAATAGCCAAGTGTTGTTAGGAAGAGAAAAAAAAAGAGATAATGGATGTGAAAACTTAGCTAGCTCTTTAGCCTCAGCCATCATAATCATTATTATTCAGATAAAGTAGTGAAATTTGGATCATATAAATTTTTGATTACTTGCTAATAAAATACATGTTTTGTAAATGTATAGTTAGCATAATAAAAACCCACAGTGCAGACTATGTGACTTCTATCAAATCTGTGACCTATTGGCCCCTTTCTCCAAACATTAAACTTAAAGCAGTTATGCTCTGAAGATGTGGGTAGAACTTTGTCTAAAAATTCTATAGTGTTTGTACCTTTGATGTAATGAGCATGTTAAAATGTTTGGGGAAAAGAAAAGCAGACATAGAACAAGCTTGCAGAAGGGACTGACAAGTTAAATTGGCTGGTTTTCAAATGATACAGGGATTGGGAGGAGAAAGATGCTCCCACAGAAAGACGCACACTCCGTGAGTAAATGCTGATGATTTCTTTGTTCTTTTCCCTGGCCCATGCTCTGAGGAAGGGCTCTGGCATTGTAGGGTCGCTGGGCTGCTAACCACAAGGTCAGCAGTTTGAACCCAGCAGTCAACCTGTGGGAGAAAAATGAGTCTTCCTGCTCCCATCAAAATCTGCCCACTCGGAAACCCCAGTGACAATTCTACTCTGTCCACGGGGGAGGGGGAGTCCCAGTGGCCTTGACAACAGAGATTGAGAGTATGCTGAGATCTTTAATGAAATGCCATCCCAGCTAGAGATCTGTGTTTACATTGATTTAAATAACAATAGAAATAAGTGACAGACCTTTGTAAATTCTAAAGTGGCATTCAGTTGTAACTGATGTGAATGACAATGAACAGGAGAAGGATGATGGCCATAATCTTGTCATTTAAGATCATTTTGAATTTAAACTTGCTTCACAGGCTCAGAAACAACATATCAACACTTTTCTTAATTTCAAAGCATTCAGAAAAACTTTAAATCTATCCATTTGTTAAAAAAAACTTTTAATCACATCATCATGAAAGATTAGGTCTAACGAATAACTTTTCTTGGATACTGTGATTTATGTACTTATTGCCTAGTATGCAACCCATGGTTTAAAATAATTCATACAGCATGAAAGAAGTTTAGTCTATAAAGGAGACAGCTATTCTTACAGATGTGCATCGGGTCAAGCTTAGGAAGCGCGGTTTCACCTTCCAGCCTTTCTGGTTGTGCTGCCTACTGTTTCCCATTTTCCTGCCTGACAGATCTTTTCAGAGGCCATGCTTCAGGTTTCTCCAGGACCAGCCGTTCTCAACCTGTGGGTCATGACCCCTTTGGGGGTGGAACAACCTGTTCACAGGGGCCGCCCGATTCATAACAGTAGCAGAATGACAGTGATGAAGTAGCAACGAGAATAATGTGATGGTTGGGGGGTCGTCACAACATGAGGAAATGTATGAAGGGTCGTGGTACTAGGAAGGCTGAGAACCACTGTCCAGGACAGTCTAGGTTCGTACTTGAGGTGCTGCTGCTAGGTGCTGGAGAATCAGTCCCGCCCTAGATCAACCCTACACACAACAGAAGGAAATCCTGCTGGGCCTTGCCCCTTCCTCCCTACTGTTCCCATGCTGGAGCCCATGGTGGCAGCTATTGTGTTGATCAGCCTCATTGAGGGCATTCCACTTTCTCACTGCTCCTCCAAGTTACCAAGCAGGATGTCTTTCTCCAGGGACTTGTCTCTCCTGACAATCGACCACCTGCATCTAAAGTAGGTAAGACAATGTCTGGCCATCCTTGACTCTAAATCATTATTGATATGTTAGAGTAATCTTTTTAGTGTCCATGTTTCTAGAGTTGCATCAGGTAAATGGAGAAAAGGACATTCTCAAGGATTGTGTCTGGCTTGGATCCACAATCAATGGTCATAGACGCAGCAGTCAAGAGATCAAAAGCCGAACTGCATTGGCTAAATGTGCTGCTCTTTAGAGTATGGAAACGCAAGGGCTTTACTTTGAGGAGTAAGGTGCTCCTGTCCCAAGCCATGGTATTGTCAATCACTTCATATGCCTGTGAGAGTTGGACACTGAATAAGAAAGACAAAGAGGAATGGAAGCATTTGAATTGTGCTGGCTAAGAATATTGCAGGTACCATGGACAGCCAAAAGGACATACTGATCTGTCTTGGAAGAAGTAAGATCAGAGTGCTCCTTAGAGGAAAGGATGGCCAGATTTCATCATTTAAATAAAATGATTGCCATTATATTTATTTGAAAATTAAACATTTATATTATTATTTGAGCATATTCTTGAGGAAAAATTTCTATCAAGAGAACTATAGATAATATTTTGAAATATGAACATGTCATGGTTTAATAGTGCTGTAAATTCAACATCTTATAATTCAACAACACAATATGAACTGTCAAATCCCAAATTAAAGATGATCAGCTTAATAGTTTTCTCCTGCCAAAATACATATTTCTAAATGGTCACTTTTGCTTAAAATATAGATTACTTTTAGACGCCAGGACCTCCAGAAAGACAAATGAATTTACTAACCACTTAGCTTTGGGCTGGGAGTTCCTAGGGCAGGTCTTGGATCTTTCACCAATATTTTAGAACCAGCTATGAATGGAAATAAAAATATTTGCAAAAGTTTATATAATTAGTAATGCACAGTCACATACACACACATAAAATATGATGATTCATCAGGTCTACTCTCTGATAAAAATGCTCTGTTCATCGCAGGAACTCTGTTCTCATCCAGACCCCTGGTGTGTAAAGCATAAAATTTCATAATTATCTCAATTTTTAATTCATTGTGATAAGAGGCAGGTTGATTCTACTGCACCATCTCGGGACACTGTTTCATACTCTAGAGGCATAAAGGACATGGAAATGGTCACACCAAGGGCCGAGGGAAGGCTATTCAGTCTTTTGGCTTTTTGGTGAACTCATTATTCTTGGTCCTGATAGTAATTGTCATATTCAAATGTTAACACAATTGCGCATGTCACCTAGCTCTTATCAAACACCCTATCACTCTGGCCAGCGAGAAACTGGCTTAGTCCAAAGCAGAGACAATCCGACTTCTGAAATATGCTTTCAAGCCTCTTCCTACGAGGGTGGCTGTGATCGAAAAGTCTAAAGCCAGAGATGCTGGCAGCAGTTTTCCAAACCTTACAGAGGGACTTGAAGAAAAAATAAAGGCAAGAAGAAAAAACACAGCACAGACACATTTTAAAAGTTATAAAAAGACCTGAATATTTCTGTAACTCTGAATCCAGGAGCGTCTACATACCCATCCTCTTGGTGTGACCAATGCATTTCTTTGCTCTTAAATTAATCTGTTGGGGTTTTGTCTCTTGCATTGGCTCTTTCTGTTAGTTTCCTCACAATGATGTCCAACAAAATGAGGCACTGCCCAGCTGTGTGCCATCTTTACAATCTGTCTTACATTCAAGTCCAATGTTGTTGCCTCTGAGGGATGCTTAATAGAACAATTTGTCTGGCTACAGGCTCATCTAAAGAAAACTTACCTTCACAAACAGGAACTTTCCCAGTCCAGGTGTTATCAGATCTACAAACTCGATGTTCTGTACCGCCTGCTAAGAAGAAGCCATGCTGACAGGTATAAATTAGTGTGTACCCATGTGATGGGAGGTCCATGCCTACGACATTTGCATGAGCAGGTGTTTCTGGTTGTTTACAGCTATGGGCTGTATTAAGAGAAGGGAAGGTAGTTAATTTTAAATAGAAATTTAAAGAAAAATTAAAGCAGGGTTATAAAACATTTTCAGAAATATTTTAATGCCTTTATATAAATATAGAATAATTATTGTAAAAACCAAAGAAAACATGGCAATGATAGTTAGAACTCTAAGCTTTCTTCTATGACCCAGTGGTAGATGTCAACACTGGTGTGTTGAGGGGAAAAATATTGGGAATAATTAAGCTGAGAAAATATACTTATCTGACTTATTATTTTATATAATCTTTAAAATAAAAAGACTCCATATGTTCTAAAATGAAATTAAACCAAATTTCATTATATTTTTATATTAGTACTTTTTAAAAGAGAAGATAAAATGTAATAATTTGCTTTTATGTATTAAATTTTCAAAACCATTCTTTTCTTAATCAGAGATAGAGCCACAAATGTTATCCCTCAAATTTGAGTAGCATATCTGTTCATATGGTCCACAAATATGGCGGTGGGGGAAGTGTTCTGTACACTACTGTATTTGGGAACAAAACAAAACAAAACTATTTGCTTCCCTAAGCAGATTCACAGAGGTATAATATCTAACCTTCTGACCACGATTTGCTGAACATTGTGTGGAATGCTTCCTATTTAATATAATTCAGTGAATGTATAGCTTCTAATTTGAAACTGCTTTCTTATCCTCACATTAGGCACATATTTGAAATTCCAAGATGCTTCACAAGAACAGAAGCTGTTTAACTTAAATCATTTCCCAAATGAGAGACCCAAACAACTTTAGTTTACTAGGAACTTTGGGAGTTACTTTGGTAGTTACTATACTAACTGCCCACTCCCTTTGGAATGCTCTTCAGAAGAATTGTGCCTTATTTATACAAATGTGAATCAAGCATGTAACATGACTTTTCAGAATACTCTTTCCTGTTTAAGTAAGCTGCTGGCCCATGGGGAATAGGTTCTGGAAAGGTCTAGAATATGTTTAAAGCAACTTTTTGGACTCCAGCAAATCCTAAAAGTTAAATACCTCCCTGATGAGTGTTTCTTTTAGTTTACTCCTCCCTGACACCCACCCACCTGTGGGAGTCAGCATTTAAAAGACAAGGTAGATACTGAGAATAGAAGGAAGTGAAGACATTGCATATGTACTTCTCATGCAGAGGAACCATTTAGTGACCTTGTCTGTGTTTCTTATTTTCTCTGTATAACTAGTGCTTTCAACCTGGGATCAATACTCAGAAGCTCGGGAATACCTTGAAATACGGTATTGCTATTTGGGGTCAAGGTACAGACTCCTCCTTTCTTTTCACATGTATTTCTAGTTTTCTTCAAGTTCTCTGGGCATTTCGTGTGTGATAAACAAATTTAAGTCACTACTTTGGAGCCTCCTGCTTTCCGGAGTACTTCAGATTCATTCATCTATGAAGATTCATCTATGATTCATCAATTATCAAGTCAGTGCAGTAGATTACAGGGCTTTTACAATGGGTTGGTGATAAACTAGCACAATCACACCCATGAAACATTTTATAATAATCTAAAGAGAAATGACGTAACTTACTCCTTGTGTAAATATAAATTGTTACCAAACACGGTAGAGAATATTTCTGATAAATCTTTACCTCAAAGAAGCACGATGTGTTCATGGTGGTACTTACGTATGCATTCAGGCTGCATACCACTCCAGGAGAGGTCAGGAAGACAAGTACGCGTTGTGGACCCCTGTAGAAGGTGTCCTTTTTTACAATGGAACTGCACAACACTCCCCACCTACAGAATATCAACGAGAGCAAAAAGGAGTATAGTAAATCCTAAGACAATTTCAAACATAGCAATTACTAGAAAACACCTTGAATGGTAAATGTCCTGTAGATTGGACTTTGGAAGAAAAATAAATTAAAATCTAATGTAAAATAAAAGTGAAATGAATCAAGACCTAAGAAAGAAACCTGTATTACTTTTAATTACATGTCATTCTCACATGTTCATGTGCACAGCATGTATATGGAACAATGTTTTGGCCATGGGAACTTGATAAAGATAAATGGAATAGAAAATGCCAATAAACTACATACAAATACAAGATGGAGAGGCAAATGAAGATTAGAAATAAAAATAAGAACCTAAATAAAAATGGTTAAAGAGAAATATGAATTGGAAACTAACATTATAAGGAGTAAGTGAATATTTACTATGGAACCTCACATAAGTCATTTCTCCCCATGGATTAGTGATTTCCTCATTTATAAATATGAATGATAATATTATTTGTGTTGGGATTGTTTTAAGTATTAAATAAGAGAGGCTATATAATGCACTCTGCACAGAGCTTAGTACGTGTTTTAAATAAGCTCTAGTTGAGCTCTTTTGGGTTAACCCTGGACTCCTAGAATACAATCTGTGGTCCAAACCCATTAGCCACTCTGCGGGAGGCAACTGAGGCTGCCTGCTCCCATCATGGTTTGCAGCCTCAGGAATCTTTCCTAGGGTTCACTACGCATCAGATGGGCCCAACTGCAGTGAGCACACTTATTCAATTACAACCATAAGTTTAAAAAATAAGCTTTTAAGAGTCTCAAGTGACAGGATATGGCATTTGGATCCTTGTAATAGAAAACATAAAGTCCTGGTCTCTCTTGATAAACATTTCCAGATACACAAGAATAAACTTTCCCATCCTCCACTCAAAGCAACATTCTCATTTTACTTTATCCAAGATAGATTTTATTCTTCTAGTCATCTACGGTATTTTAACATTCTTGATAAAACCATTCTGGGCTCTTCCTTCTTCACTGTTCCAATTTCACATGCACAAAAGGCAGTTAAAAATATCACGGATTTAATCCTCAAAGTGACATCTTTGCTAACAGTAAAACTTGTGCGTGATCACTTGACTGCTACTTACATGACACTCATTGTGGATCAAAGTCAAATGAAATCCTTGTCAAATTCAAACTCTTCTTGCTTTATCACGATGCTGCCTACTGGTCCAGTTGTGAGGATTTTTGTTTTCTTTCCATAAAACAAAGGCTGTGTGTAGTCCTGGATCTCCATCTGCAAGTGGTTCGAGTAGTCCTCCCTTTCAATAAGCAAACTTTTTGTGTCATGAGCACCTTACAGGTTGCTAGTTTTCCTCCAGGCCTGATGCCACATTCTTCTTCCTGCAGACCGGCATCTCTGATCATTTGCTCAGAATACAGACTGAATGGGTAGGGTGAAAGTGTACGACTGATGCATTCATTTTCTCTTCTTAAATCACACAGTCTCGCTCTGTTGAAACTACTTCCTCCTGCTTGGCCCACCTACCTAATGTACTTGTTGTCATCTCCTACCTGATCGGCCCCTCCAGTCATTAGTGCTGCACGTGTCAAATCTCTTCTTGAAACGGTCTCTAAGTGCTGGTGGGAGATACTCCATGTTATATTCTGGTTTCTGAGGACCTGTTTTACTTTTCTTGAGCTTCAACTTGAACTTGCTTATGAGCAATTGATGATCTGCTCCACAGCTTGGCTCTAGTCTTGGTTTCCTTGTTGATATTGAGCTTTTCCACGCTCTCTTCCAACAAATGTAGTCAATTTGATTCCTATTTATTCCATCTGGCAAGGTGCCTATGTGTAGTTGCCATTTATGTTGTTGGACAAAGGTGTTTGCAATCCACGCCATTAGCCTTGTTAAGTCCATCATGCGAACTCCAGCTTCATTTCTGTCTCCAAGGCCATGCTTTCCAGCTACCAATCCTCCTTCTTTCCTTCCGACTTTGAAATCCCAATCACCAATAACTCCCAATGCAGGCTTGATCTTGATTTCAGCCTGAATATGTCGGTAGAATCGTGTAATTTCTTCATCACAAATTTTTGTGACTAGTGTGTAAACGTGAGTAACAATTTTATTAACTGGACTTCTTTAAAGATGTAGCAGTATTTGAATTTTTCTTTTTTGATTATGAATCTTCTGGAATCTTATCAGAATTCTTCTGGAATTTATCATTCCCAGTACGGTAAAACATATGATTGTTTCATTTAAAATTGCCAGTAACAATCTAGTTCCGCTCACGAATGCTCCGGGTCACATTCTCTATGGGTTCTATTTCATTGTTGACAGTTTCCAAAATTCCTGGATGCACACTTCGCCCATGCCCTGTTGCAATTACCAGTGGACGTTTGCAGCTGTTCCTGCTCCGATGGAGTGGAGTCACACCAGCAAGGGAAGGGCCTGATGGTTTCTCTCCAACCACATAATGCAGGCTGATTCTACTTTGAGGAAGCAGCTCAACCCAGTCAGGTTCAGTGTCTTGCAACCGTAAGGACTCCTTTTCCAGCACTGTATTTGACAATGTTCTGCTTCTATCCATAAGAGTGTCAGTGGTTATTCCCTCAGAAATAGATTCTTTCTTCTTTGCTGTTTGTTCTTAAGCTTAAAGCTTCTCTGAAGGGTCCATGGATGACCCTTCTGGTATTTGAAATAGCAGTGACGTAGCTTCCAGCATCACAGCAACTCACACATGACCACAGTGTAACAAGAGGACAGATTAGGGTATTTAAGTCCTGTCACTTTAGATTTCTCCAGCAATTCCACTCTGAGAAGGCTCAGTGTCTCAGGCTTACAGCTTGTTTCCTTCTTTCTCTGCAGCAAAGCACAAGTAAGCCTGCAGTGACACATTTCCTACCACGGTGCTATTTGGGTTTAAGACCAGCTATGCACCACCATTGTTCCTCTACTTCTCCAGAAATAGTCAATTATTCATTCCCAGATAGGAAAGTTCAGGTACTGCACGTTGTGTCATTCTTGCCACTGTCACCCACACTTTAAGAACCATTGCCATAGATCAATGAAAGGGTCACCTAATTGTCTCTCTTTCTACAGTACTGACCCCATTAAATTCATTTACACATTAAGGTAAGAGTGATTTATGCAACATGAAGTGTGACCTTCTTCTTCTTACAATTTTAATGGCTTATCATATACAGGATAAAATTATAATGTGTTATTTTGGTGGACAAAGACCTCTATAACCTGGCCACTTACTATCTGCCCAGTATTATCATTAACCACTGAACAATTCTCAAACTTTACTCCTTTTTCTTTCTGCATATATTGGTTCAATTCATATTGAAAGTAATATTATATCAGGAACTAAAAATAATTTATATCCAGTTTCAGCGAGTCTATTTTTATGTAAAAGTCACTTTTAATTGAAGCACAATCACATGTCTATGCAAACACCCTATAGTATTTTAAGACATAATTAATTGGTAACACGTACTTTATAGCCTACTGTTCCCCAAAGTGGGAGATACTGCCCCTGTGGGTGCTGGCAAGACCCAGGACTGCAAAGGCCCATTTCTACACTTTATCCTGGATTAGGGGTTCTAGTAAAAATATTTTTAATTGCTAGGGGTATTTATTAATTTTCTTCTAAAGAGGGCATGGTAGACCAAATAACTTTGGGAAGCTATGTTTTAAATTCACATTCTAACATTATATAACAGTTCATACCTCGTGAAATTTAGCCAGCCAAGTATAATATTAATATAAAGCTTGCATAATCTTCTAGAATTTATATTATATTCTATGTTTCTCTTCCATGGAAATTCCATAGTAAACAACTCATTTACTTAAATAACTCTTATTTTGCTTGCATTACCATTACTGTATCTGTGTGTGTGTGTGTGTGTGTGTGTGTGTGTGTGTAACATCACATGACTATTTCACTGGTGGTTCCAGCATGGCTCCTAACAATGTTCAAATAGATGTATAGTGACTGATTAAAATTTTTAAAAATACTTCCTCTTCAAAATATATTTGACCAACTGTTTTAGATTTCTATATAAGTTTATACAAAGCACTTTAGCCCCCCAAGTTGGAAGTCACTGCTTTTAAAACACATATAAAATTGAGATGATAAAGTTCAAGTAAAAGACCATGATCAACACATGAAGTGATACATGTGATCCCTGAGAGGGGAGGTTAAATGTTTTCACTGACCAAGTATCAACTTTGACTGTGAATTATCAGATTTAAGAAAATAAACTATTTTAAGGTATCTTATAATTGTACAGAACCCCTTTTCAGTATTCCTTATTCAGAGTTCAACTTTCAAACCCATATGAAGCGACTGAAAATAGGATTTGGGGAAGGCTTACTTTAATCACCAAAATAACACCCTTGCTTTTCAATATTTTAAAGAGATCTTGTGCAGCAGATTTACCTAATGTGATATATAGTTTGTGTAAACAAGCGGCCATCTAGCTCAGAAGCAACAAAGCCCACATGGAAGAAGCACACCAGCCTGTGTGATCACAAGGTGTCAATGGGATAAGGTATCAGGCATCAAAGAACAAAAAAACATTACTGTGAATGAGGGAGAGGGCATATTGGGGGCCCAAAGCCAATCTGAAGGCAACTGTACATCCCCTTACAGATGGGTTGTTGGGAGGAGACGGAGCAGCCAGGGTGCAGTGTAGCAACGACGAAACATACAACTTTCCTCTAGTTCTTAAATGCTTCCTTCCCCCCTTCCTCCTGCCCCTGACCCTCATGATCCCAATTCTACCTTACAAATCTGTCTAGACCAGAGGATGTGCACTGGTACAGATAGGAACTGGAAACACAGGGAATCCAGGACAGATGAACCCTTCAGGACCAGTGCTGAAGAGTGGTGATACCGGGAGGGTAAGGGGAAAGTTGGGGGAGGGTAAGGGGAAAGTTGAGGAGAAAGGGGAAACTGATTACTAGACTCTACATATAACCTCCTTCCTGGGGGACGGACAACAGAAAAGTGGGGGAAAGGAGATGTCGGACAATGTGAGATATGAGAAAATGATAATAATTTATAAACTATCAAGGGTTCATGAGGGAGGGGGGAGAAAGGAGGGAGGGGAAATGGAGGAGCTGATACCAAGGGCTCAAGTAGAAAGCAAATATTTTGAGAATGATGAGGGCAACAAATGTACAAATGTGCTTGACACAATGGATGTATATATGGATTGTGATAAGAGTTGTAAGACCCCAATAAAATTATTTATATATAGAAAAAAGAATAAGCTGAAAATCACAACTAATAGTGATTATTTTATTTGGGTTAAATATCTAAAAACTAATTATCTAGGGATTAAATATCTATTGATCAAAGTAAAATAATTTTGTATCAACAACTTAATGCCACAACTCTAAATCCCCAAAATAAATTTCCTAAAGCCAGAGCTTAATTAAAAGGTTCAGCATTTAGTAAAATTAGTGTTTGTCATTCACACTACAATTAATCTAGATGTTTATCAGTCATTTTGGTAGCTACTTCCATTACCACCAATTTATTGATAGCCAATTTTGGGTACAAAAGAAAAATTACCTGAACTATTTTTCCAACAGTAGAATTTTGATCACTAGCCTGACTGCTGCATCTCCTTACATGCTAATGCATGTTCAAAAGCCTGCACTGTCAATCGGTATAGGAAAAGGGAGTGAATCAACCAACAGGTAAAAGAGGAAATTAAGAAACTGATCTGTGTGCATACATATTTCGTAACTCTCCTTCTCCTTTGCCAATTCCAGAACAGGGCTTTCTACAGCTGACTTTTTACTGCTCCTCCTCACCCGATGAAACCATGCGGGAAGGCCGAGTTGGGACATTCAAATTCTCTCTGCAGAAATTTGGAAGTTTGAAACTGAGATTGAGGTAATTAATCACTTTCTATCTATGTGTGAAATACAAGCAGAGTAACACACCCTGTCTAATCTGCAGAGAGAGAGAGGAGCCAGATAAATAGACAAGTGGAAAAGAACATGTGCTCTTGTCCTGTCTTGAATCCAGGCTTGATCCATGGTGCCCAGATTCCTTCCCCTGTGATCCCGGAGAAACGCACACGTGATGAGAAAGAGTTACGGGAAGTCACTTCCGTATGGTTTCTGATTCATGAAAGCCAGGGTTTTGCTCAACTGGCAAACATGCTTATCTCAACTAGAATTATGTATTACATATGTTAAAATGCAGAAATAATGATTCTCTTCGTCTCATATGCTTCAGAGCGTCAACCAGATTCAGTGCCAACACACTAACTTTAACTTTCTACTTTTGCCAGAATATTGTCCATGACTTGCTCTGTGATCAAAGCAAGTTACGTAATTATGTTTCTTTGTTCAGCGTCTTTGTCTACATGATTGAGGACTAGCTGTATTAACTAGTGTTTTCCAGAAACTAGATCGATGGACAATGGCTTTTATGAAGACGTGAACCTAAAATTCTCTGAAAACAGATATAACGGAGACTGAGACACTCTTTTATATTGCTATTATATGGACAAGACTGAGGCAGACTGGAAGAATTTAAAACACTATCAAATCAATGTTCACACTGTGCCTGGATTGTAGATAAATGAAAACTATTTTTAGCGATAAAAGTATGGCACCTTTGATGAGCACTTCCTTTAGAAATGGATGCTCTTCAGGTTCACACTGAATTTCATCCAGAATAGCACAATTTAGAAAACCTTGCAACACAGGGCAATTGAGTAATGTGAAAATTGGCTATTTCTTTTTGGAATCAGTATGCACTTTGGCTCTCCTTAGACCTCTATAAGGAAAAACTTGCTGAATCTCTACATAAAAACTAAATTGGAACCAGAGGTAGCAAGAGAGTCGGCCACACATGGCTAGGCATACTAAAGCATTTTAATACCACAGTCCAACAATATGTTGTGGAATAATGGGGTATGACTAAATGATTTCTTTCAGAAATTTCCCACATTGATGACAATGTTTGAGAAAATATTTTAACCTTTTATACAACTATTGCTTTATTGAGAAACCACATTTGTACACCCTTTTTAATGCTCAGCAGTTTCAGCTTTAATCCCTTCCATAATGCTCTCTTGTCCACACTGTCCAAATTCACTTTTTCCATTCCGTCCCACAATAACTGATATCCTGTAGGAAACGGAAAGACCTCTCCCAGGTTATCTCCCCTAAATACTGTATATGCCGGACCTAGCTGCTTGCTACACATGGTGCATGACTATACACTTGGAGGTCAATGAAAGTAGGTCAGAGGTTATTCTCCCTAAGGGTTATCAGTCATCCAGAGCAAGCAGAAACCACTGTTTATCCCACAATAAGTAGGGCCCACTCCCTTCTGATAAGGATAGTAGTAAATTGTTTCCCTGAAGGAGAGCCCAAGGGAAGTCAAACCCACCCAAGGGTGACCAAGATTAGGCCGCCATCATGAATTTAGGGTCTGCCTTTCTTTTTACATGTATACCTCTAGTTCCACCCCTTCTGATCACGTGTACACCCCTAGCTCATCCCCTTCCTGTTATGCTTATGCCCATTGTATATCCCCCTCCTACTGCTCATATTGCCTATTGTACAAACCCTTGCTGTGACGTATGGCTTTACCTGTAATTAGGAGGTATGCACTCCCCCAGAGCTATATAAGCTTTCGCTAGCAATACATCTCTCTCTGTCCTGTGTGCTCTCTCCTGCTCTGACCACCAAGAGGAGCAGAGCATGCGACCATGAAATGTGTCTGACTCCTTCATTTTACTCTCTCCTATATCTCATATTCTCAATGATTTTACTATAATCTTTACTTATTATCGCTGTACAATTGCGCCTACTGGACCCATGATGATTTGTTAGGGGCCGGCTACCTTGACAATATCCCTCTCGCTTCTTTCCTGAAATCTTTAGTTAATTGATTTTCCAAAAGAATTATTTTTTATTCCCTAATTCCTTATTACTTCTATTTATTTTTTTGCCTTATACCTTTTCTATGTGTTTATGAGTGCAGTTTTAATGTGACTTATTTCTGCATGTCAGATAGGATTTTATGTACAAAACAACACAAACATTTTGATCCGTTTTTACAATAAATGGAAATATTTATGTCAAATACTCACTTGAAATCCAAATGTGTTGTTCTGAGAACCATGTCTTGGTACTCCTGGGTTATCACATGAAGTACGTGTGGGTTCTAAAATGATAATTAAAAACATTATTCTTTGATAATGTATAATGCATATATTGGTCTTCACATAATTTTAAGTGATCTCTAGTTTAATGAATGGAATATGGGTAAAATTTAAAAATATAATCCTTATGGTTTTCTAATAATATAAATTGTATTTCTCCATGGGAAGAAGCCTGCTCAACTTGAAGTAAGAAATTTAGAGAGATGGATTTTGATGAATGTTATTCTTGAACTTGGGGCCATTTTAATATTAAAACTTTCCATAACCAACTAACCCTGAAGATAAGAAAAACACATGCATGAACCATCTGCTCAGCGAGCTAGCTAAACACAATCTCAGGTAGGGCAATGATTCAGAAGTGTAGGTATTTCCAGAGCCATGATTTGCTATTTGAGTTCTTCCCTGATACCAATAGAAGATGTGGGCATGAAGCACAGTCTGGGTAGTGGCAGTCTGGGTAGTTTCTGAATTGGTGATTTGTATGATAGCTTACTTGTTGAGTTTATTAAATGTGGTCTTTAATTTTAGGAATATAGCAATGTACTTACAGCCATTTTGAATCAGTATATCTTTTGGATATATTTTTAACAAATCTGATTTTATGTGAGCATGCTCTATTATGTATGCATGTGTTCTCTCACTCCCTGCCAATGAGTTGCTTCCAACTCATGGTCACCTTAAACGACAGAGTAGAACTGCCTCTTCAGGTTTCTGAGGCGGTCAATCTTTATGGGAGCAGAGAGACTCATTTTTGGTTGTGGTTTTCTCCCAAGAGGGCCTGGGGGGTTTGAACGACACCTGTTGCATTCAACAGCGCAACAAGGGACCTACTTTACTGCCGTGCATCCTCATGTTCCTATTGTTTGTTGCCTTTGGCCAGTTCTAACGCATGGAGATCCTAGCGCACCAAGAGGAGTCCCTGCCTGGCCCTAAGCCATCCTCAGATTGCTATGTTTGAAATCATTGCTGCACCTACTGGGCCACACAACCCCATCAAGGGTCTTCCTCATTTTCCTTTGCCCCTCCACTTTACCATATGCGATGTCTTTCTCTAGGGACTGGTCTCTTCTGATCACGTGTCCACATTAGAAGTCTTGTCATTTTAGCTTCCAAGGACGTTCCACTGCTCTTCCTAAGGCTTCCTATGACTAACCATTCAGAAGTGAACAACCTATTCCTTCCTTGTGGTCTGTTTTTAATCCAGAAGCTACACTGAAAACTACTCCCCTTGGGTGCTGGTATGTAAAATACTTGTGACATGGTTTCCCCAAGGGGACTCAGGCCACCATAGTGCAACAAAGTGGCAGAGAAGTGGTGGCGAGCCCCTCGCTCGTTAGTGCATAAAAATGTTATCCATCAGAAATCTTGTGTTCCTTTTCATTTTGCTGACAAGAAAATTACATTGAGTGTTTCCTCTCTACGTTTTAAAAGTAAAATATCATAGATATTAAAAATATTAATCTTAGTACTCTAATTGCTCCTGGATTTTAAAGGTATTTTTCATATTTACACAGTACAGTAGATAGAATAAAGAAAATCATTGGGTGGCCCTACTATCTATGAATCCCACAATCACTGAATATAAACTAAAACTGAAGCCAGTGTTGTCGAATCTATTCAGACTCCCATCAGCCCTAAAGGACAGAGCAGAACTGCCCCACAGAGTTGCAGGCTGTCTTACAAAAGAAAGCCCCACCTTCTTCCCGAAGAGCAAGTGGTTGGCCTACATTGCCAAACCTCGGTGAGCCGCTGAAAATTACCCCACTGTGCCGCCACAGCTTGTTTCTGAGCAAAATCATGACTGAATGACGGTTACCTATGCAGTGAGGTGACGAGCCACTCCAAGTGCCATCTGCTTGGCATATCCTGGTGCTTGATCCCACTAATATGAATGGGAAATTGCAGCTGAATGACACCTCGGACTGGTAGATAAAGCTTTTGCCTTCTCTTTTCCCTTGGGCAGGTACTCCTGGGTCACCACAGAACTTTGCTGTAGTGAAAAAGAAAGACGCTGTAGAGACGACAAAGGACATGGCAGAGCAAACAGAATATGGTGACAACTGGGACAGTGGATTAAAATGAGATGTTATTCTATTCCAGTAACACATCCTATTTTTTCCCTAGACTATACCTAAATGTACAAATCCTGAAAGTAAAACTCAATATACTATTAAAACTTTAGTCTGATTCATATAGTTTCCTTCTTGTGGACTATCTTATAATGTCCAATAAAACCAAAGTCAAACTTACTGCCATCGAGTCAATGCTGACTCATAGCGACCCCCAGAGGGTTTCTGAGACTGTAACTGTCTGCGGGAGTAGAAAGCCCAGTCTTCCTCCCACAGAGTTGCTGGTGGTTTTGAACTGTTGACCACGTGAATCATAGACCAAGCTTAACTACTACCCCACCATGGCATAATTATGATTTATATTGAGCAGATGCAAACACGGGACCAAAGGTGAGATGCACTGCTGTAAATAAATGCGCTTTACAGGTGAGATCGGACAGAAAGCAAGGACTTGTCAGAAAAAATATAATAATGTGGAAAGTCAGTGAGTCTTATGCGGAAACAGAGTTTTCAGGTTCTGAACATTGTGCTATGTGTGTGTACGTGGAGAGGACAGGAAACAATTTCAAGTAAATAGATAACCAGATTTAGATGACCTGACCTCGCTCACAGGACCCTGCAGTGTGTAATCCCTCCAGCCAGAACGACTCCCTTACTCTGGGTCCAGCACCCCAAACATCTCAGCCAATGGCCTTTGAAGTCTATCTCTTCTCCTGAAAGAGCTGTCATGGTATGTAAGCTTGGCCACATACTCAACTACTTTCGTTAATAGCCCTCTCCACACTCCAGAGCAATGCATACACACACGTGGTAAAAGAAGAAGAAGCAGTAGCTATCATTTGTATTGTAAAACTAAGGATTCCGTGCCTTCCAGTCTTCTTGGGGCACTCCTCCATCTTTCCTGTTCTGGCAGACATGATATCCAGGTAGACTCTCCTGTTCCCTCTTAAAATGTGTTGGTTTGGATGATGTCCTTTATCGTCAGTCAACTTAAAGCTGTCTTCAGGTAGAGGGTGCACTTAAATAGTTGGGTGGTTACTGTTTATGTTTTTAGAAGGAATTCACTTTCAGATGCTGAATCTATAAATCTAAAAACTGAAAATTCTTCAGACAAATAAACACAGTTATCTAATTATAGAATACCTTGGGTTTGTATGTATGTATGTGTGTATATATAGCAGACTTAAAATGAAAAATAATGATGAAATATCTATCAAAATAAAATATTTGAGAAACAATTCTGAGTAAAATAATGTAAGGAAAGTGATGTCATAAAAGTGACTTGTCCTTGTTTTCATCCTGACTACCAATTAGGATATTGAAAACTTTAATCTATTTGGCATCCAATCACTTTTAGCAATATAATATCACACCCTAAAGGTCAGGGCCTCGGACTTAGTAACCTTTCTATCTACAGTGTCTAGCACATTTTGAATGTAACGAATATTTTCTCAGTGAACATCTGAAGTCATCATTTGAGCTTGAGCAGTCCCCGTGGTGTAGTGGTTCACTGTTGGGCTGCTAACCACAAGGCCAGCAGTTCAAAACCACCAACAGCTCTACAGGAGAGAGACTGGGCAGTCTATTCCTGTAAACAGTTAGAGTCCCAGAAACTCCACGGGGAAACTCCCTGCTCTGTCAAGTTGCCATTAACTTGCACCAACTTGATGGTAGTAAGTGAATTCTGTCTATGACTGAGCTACTTCGTAACCTATCTGAAGTGGTTCTCCTGCATATTTATTCTGAGTAATTAATTTTATATTTACACAACAAAGAGAATGGAAGAGGGGAGATGTCACCACAGAGGTACCTCCAACTTCTCTGCCTATTCTCTGATGGTTTATTCTAGAGTAGTAATTAATTCACAAAAAATATATATTGGTGTCATGTTTAGAAGCTTAAGATACATAGTTTATAATAAAAAGTCGTTCACTATGTACAGATATAAGATACAAGCTAATGTACAACACTGAAGATAAAATAAAAAGCATTGCAGAGAAAATCAATGCCTCTTTTTAAAAAATGTAAAAATAATTAACTGGGCTTCTCGGAACTTGCTGTGAAGAAAGACAAGGCTTTCTACTTCTGTGAAGAGTTCCAGGCTGGAACATCCCCATGGTCAGTGCTACTCTGTCCCGTGGGGTCGCTGGGAGTCCACATCAACACAGGGGCAGCGAGTTGCTCTCAGAACTTGAATCTGAACTCTTCCATTTAGTAGCAAGGTGACCTGATCATAACTGGATCCCTAACAAGGTTAATCAGATTCTTAAATGATAACAGTTAATCAGATTCTTAAATGATAAGATAACAAATCTTACTATTTGATTCTCTTTCTGAACCAGTTTCATTATTTATTAAAATGTCACTAAATATAATTACCTAGAGGTTCTCTTGTATGTAGCATACATAAAGTAACTGAGACAAAATTAATCATTTTGGATAGTGGTAATTAAAATATAAGAGTAAAAGAATCTTTATATGGTCCAGATATCATCCTTATTTTCCAAGCACAATGGTTACATCATCCAACTTTGTGACCAGGCTTTTGATGAGAAAAAGTTAATGCAGCTGACTTTTCCTACATTTTCATTTATTGATAGTATGTTTTGCATCTTCTATAAAAACTTAAAAATAATTTTATTGTCATGTACTTCACATATCATACAATGTAATAATTCAGTCTTATTAAGAAGAATTACACAATTCTCACTACAACCAATTTCAAAACGTTTTCTTCTTGTACTTATTGTTGGTTTCCCATTTCTCCACATCCTCCCCAGGTGTGCCCTGAGGCAATTATCAATCCAGCGACTATCTCCCTAAATCTCTCTAGCTTGGATTTCATATACAGAAAATCATACACACAGGAACCAAACAAACAAACAAAAAATCAACAACGACTAGACAAAACATAAAAAAAAATCTCAATTTAAAAAAAGTAGAAAATGTTGAAAACTGGAAACTTGAAAATACATCCAAAGAGAAAGCATATGATAAGGTATTGCATTTTAACTTCATGTGCCATAGTCAACCGCACAATGCTCCCTGTCTGATAACAAGGCTAATCATTCCATTGCTTTAGATTCTCTCTTAATTTTAAAAACATATTCAGTTTTTCATTTTATATTTGTCTTTAATATACCATTCGTTTGCTACTTAGTATAATATAGAGATCACAAGTACGTATGGATCTGTTTATCACCATGCAGTATTAACGGAATATGTCCATTTGTTTCCTCATTAATATGGCTTAGACTAGGTCATTACTTATGGTCCTATGGTCTCTATTCCATAACCCTGATTTATTTTCAATCCTTGCACCAATATCATGTCTTCTAATAACTTCAGCACTGTCATACATTTTGATAGTTCAATGAGACTGTGGTACATACCAGGGATACTACAGGGGACAGAACAAACAAAATCTTTATTTCAATGGTGCCCAAGTACCATTACTTTAACATTTGGGCCAAGGATTCCACAGGCAAATATTTATAAATGTATATGATATATATAATTTCTGCCTTTAATAGTATGATTGAGTGACTGTTATTAATGTTGTCAATAATGAAAACATAAAGGAAAAAAACTTTATAAAAGAATTTCAAATTCTCATGAGCTTTGGACTTTCTAGAGCCAAAAGTCTTGGCTGAACCTCTAAAACTACTGCTCTGAGATAACCTTAAACTTAAAAGAAAACTATTCCCTGAAGTATTTTAAGTCAAACAACGCTTTAGCTTAACGAGTAAATATCGCGTGTCTGTCTTGAGTACTTTTAGAACGATTATTCACATGGGACAGAAGTGATGACAATAATTCAACAGACCAGACAGGGACCAGAGAGGACAGCACATCGTGTGAATAGAGGGAAAACAACCAGGGTGAGGATGAAAGAAATCACCACCATCACAGGGTTGTTTAACGGGCATAGGTTTTGCCTGTATATTCTCAACAACAAAACAAAATACAAAATAAATATAAAATACAAGTAAAATAGCATACTGATTCATAAGCTGTTTGTGATCAAGTCTCCACACTGTCATAAATCAATTTAGTATCATGACTATTTAAGTTGTATTTAGGAATATAAATGTGAGTTGCAGGATATAGACAAAATAAGATGAGATAAAAACGTGTGTGTTAAGGAGCCCAATTAAGGGATGACTTAGGAGTAGTAAATTAAGGTGAAAATAAGATTAGAAGGATAATATCAATTACACAGCAAAATGTGAAGTCTCAAATAATGTAACTAACTAAAACAATACTGAGGGGTGGGCGGGGGAGGGAGAGGGAAGAAATGGGGACTGGATATCAGGGGCTCAAGTGGGAAAAGAATGCTTTGAAAACAATGATGGTAGCATATGTGTAAATGTGTTTGACACACTAGGGGAATGTATGGATTGCGATAAGTGATGTAAGAGTCCCCAATAAAAGTATTTTTTTAAAAAAGAGAGAATATTGATAATTTTAAGTAAAAAACCTAAGAAATAAAAAAGAATTTCAGGCAGAATAAATCATCCATTAAAAAAAGCCCAAGTGGTGAAGCTGAATTAGTTTTCCAAGAAAAAACAAACAAACAATGTGCCTGGGGAAGTGTGAGTGAAGGGGGAGTGGAAAAGGGGCATCTCTAAGATATGGCAGATCTGAAGGTACCAGTTGGAGGTTGGTACCACTGAGGGGTTTATATTAACCATTGTAGTTTCCATCACCAGTTATCGGAGATCATCTCACAAGTTAAAAGTAATACTTTCATATTTGAGAGCCTCCATGGCTCAAACAGGAACAGTGGTTCATAGCAGGTTAACCCTTGAGGATCTCACGGAAACAAAACAAACCACACCCATCAAGTTGATGTCAGTCCTAGTGGTCCTCCAGGACATAGTAGAACTTCCTGCTTGGAATTTTGAGCGTAAATTTCTGGGCAAAAGATCCTACAAAGGAGCCTGTCTGTATCCTGTGGTTTGAGACTTAAGTTATACAAAAACTGTGACTTTTATTTTGAAATGTTAAAATAGTTTTGTAAAATTTGATCTTATAAGTAATGTTTGCTAGGATTGAATAGTATACGGTAATCTTTTTTAAAAGATTCATTTCTATGTGTAATAATGTTATATTTATAATTTTAATACTTATCATAGAAAATATGAGGATAAGAAGTGGATTTGAATGAGTATGTAAAGTCACCATGAAGTTATTGTAGAAAGATGTCAAGAGTATATTGCAAAGTATTCTGCTGAGAAAAATTTGAAGTATGTACATATAAACAATTTTCCAGCAGTAAAATCATCCCTGTTGGTCTTTATTTTGGAGACTAACTCTGAAAAAATAGGAAGTCTATAAGCGAAGTAGTTTAGCCTAAAATTCAGTGTCAGTTTATTTTGAGTATAATGACCAGATTTCAGGAAAAGTAATTATAAATACAAGTAATGATTTTTCTTTTAATTTTAATTGGACTTTGGAAACTTGCCTATTTCACATTCGAGCAAAATATAAAACTATTAAGTAATAGTTTTAAGTTTAGCGAAGTCAGGGAGGGAAAAGCCTCTGTGGGAGTACAGAGAGGATACTTACGTAGGCATTGCGGCACTTCCCCACTCCAGGTTCCACTCCCAACACACGTCAGAACAGCAGGAAAGGACAGTTCGTAGCCGGGCGAACAGATGTAGCTGATACTAAAGCCCCAGTCGAAATTTGTTCCTTCTAACCTTCCATTAGAGATCTGGGGAGGAGTTGCGCAGGTAACAGCTGCAATTACATTAAAAGTGATTAGACACAGCTGTTGAAATACCGTGTGCGTGTGTGTGTGTGTGTGTGTGTGTGTGTGTGCATGTGTGTGCCAGTAGAAGAAGCATATGTGCTAATTTAACCTTTTGGAGGACAAGATGTGACATGTTTTATTCTCCTGGGAGCCTTCCTGAAACAATCCTGAAATTCATCCCTCTAAGGATGCAACTATTTCTTGGCAACATAATGGCTACTAGTTGTCAGAGATTCTCTTACAAATTAGCAAGCTGCCCGGCCTCGAAGAGAAGGGTAATCGAGGGTGACCTTCTGTCCAGTATACTGTAACTGAGGAATTATTGGTTGTACACAAAATTATTTTCCAATGACCTTTAGACTGTCTAAAGAGCTGAGATGTTTGGCTATATATAGTGTAAGCAAGATGGTATCAAGGAATTTGAAAGTAGTTCTTTTAAAAAAACAGCACATTTATCTCATTAAAATGTTCAACTTAAATCCCTTACACCACTTGGTTTATATGTTAGAATAGGCTTTCAAATATATATTTAGATTTTTAAACATTAAAAAGATTTGTTTAAGTTGTCCTCAGGCAAAGAAGGCTTAAATGATGTGACAGAGATAAAAGATACTAACTTAAAATTTACAAATAAAGAATGATTGTATCTTGATGACAAATAAAATATAGGATTCATTAAAAATATCCATATAAAACATTTGGAGTTTGTTAAAATCACCATTATTAGCCAGCTCAATAAAACAGAAACAAATGAACTGGAATCATAAATTATTGTTATCTCTTCATTATGAACTGGAGAATTATAAAACTATAAACATACAAATATGTAAAAATATGACTGAATAACATTTTTAATTTTAATCAAAATTAAAATTATTTCAAATTAGAAATGGTTTGACAGTGCATCTAAAGCATTCTTTAATTAATCATGAAAATTGACAAAACGTAAATCTCAAAACAATATTCCCAATATAAAACAAACAAAGGAAAAAACTGCATCAAATAGCAGAATTGTGAATAACTGGAATTAATTTTTTATTCTAGATCACAGTATTTTAAGAAAATGGCTTTCTCTTTATTGGCAAAAAATAATCTTATAACTCAACATGATTTTCAGAGAGTTATACAGCATTTTTCAGGACTTGATCCTAACAAAGTAAACTTATAAACCACGATAGTTGAATTTGCATCTAAATAATTATCAATAAATATAAGTAATGACAGTAGCACATAGCAGAGAAAACTATGTACTTTATTTTCTGTTGCACTACACTGTAATAACTGCGATAGGATACAATGTATTGTTCAAATATTTTAAAATCTTACATATTTCTAATATATTTAGCTATAAACGTTCAAATGTAGCAGTGGCATTTTTAGTACTAAGGAAAAATAAAACTGAATGCATAAAACACTATTTAAATTTACCTTAAATTTCACTACAAAGAGCAAAGAAATATGTGATAGCTGTTTCTTGTAAATATTTAAGAACTCACTGTTGTACCTCTACAAGTTGGCATTACTCCACTCCACGTTCCATTGGTGGTACAAGTCCTGCTTTGAGAACCATTTAATTCCATGGTATAGCCTGGTTGGCACATGTAAGAAACATTTTGTCCAACCACATAATCATCTCCATATCTCAGTCCATTGGCTGGTATACCTGGGTCTCCACAACTGATTACTATCAGTATTGGATCAGAAGAGCAGATGGTTAATATGACATGTATTTAATGGAGAAGAGTAGTAAACATATGGCATGCTTAATATATAAACAGAGAAATCAGTTACAATGTCCATTTTAAATTATAAAACATAAGCATATTTAAACCACACATTAGCAATTCCTAATTATGACTAGGTTTGCTTATTTCAGATTCTACATGTATGGTTCAGAAACTGTCATTTAGACCCTGAAACAAGTAGGTTACATATATCCTTATGTTATAGGGAACTCTGATATCTTTCACTATGCAGTATATGGGCACAGAAAAGCTATCCTACAAGTAGGATTTCTAACCTAATATTTGAAGTCTGCTCTCCTGTATTTAGGCACCCTGGTGACATAGTGTATTAAGTGCTTAACCACTAACTTCAAACCCAACAGATTAAAAACCTGGGAAACCCTGCAGTTCTGCTGTGTCCTACAGTGTCACTCTGAGGTGGAATTGACTCACTTCAGTTAGTTTGTTTTTTTCCTTTGTATTCCTAGAAAACTTAAAAATATACGAATCACATTGCCATCAGTTGATTTACACTCACAGCCATCCCATGTATCACAGAGAGAACTGCCAAATAGGGTTTTCTGCTTTATGGAAGCAGATGGCAGATAATCAGGCCTTTCACCCACAGTGGTTTGAACCACTAACCTTTAGGATAGTACGTATTCCTGTGTGCAGCCACCAAAATCCCCCATTGGTCCCATTGGTCTGATTTGCTGCACATCATCCCTTCACTCAGTGGTTCTCAGCTTCCTAATGCCACAGCATTTTAATACAGTTCCCCATGTTGTGGTGACCCCAACCAAAAAATTATTCTTGTTGCTACTTGATAACTCTAATTTTGCTACTGTTATGAATTGTCATGTAAATATCAGATATTCAGGGTATATTTTTATTGTTACAAATTGAACATAATTAAAGCCTAGTGATTAATCAGAAAAACAACACACAATTATATATTGTGAAATATTTATTTCTAATGACAAATAAATGAAATCTATTCTTGAAGCATGGTGTAGCATGGGGTAACAGTCTTCATGCTGGGTGAGTGTAGGTGGGTGTATCTGTATGTGTGCGGACCCCCCTGGAGATGGATAGAGGAGTGGTATCTGGATTCCTAAAACCATCAGAAATATGTGTTTTCTGGTGGTTTTAGGGGACCCCTGTGAAAGGGTCATTCGACTCCCAAAGGGGTCGCGACCCAAAGGTTGAGAACCGTTGTCTTAACTGATTATTATAAGATTTTAATTTGAACAATGGTAGGTTAAAACCAATGCATTTTTAATTGAGTAAATAACAGAGCAAATGAACTACAATATAAACTTTGTTGCAAACAAAATAAATGAAATAATTTGTAGGCCCTAGTGCAAAATGAAAATCGGAGCCCCCACTGTGGGGGAGATCAATTTTCCTCTTTCTGTGAGCTCATTGTCAACCTAGCATAGAAAAGCAACCTTCAAAAGATAGCAACTTTTCCTGCAGGAGTTTGGGGCATGTGAGAAGCCAGGCTAAGGGACTTGCCAGACACCACGTTGTTACTATCTTGGGGCAAGGGCAGTCTTCAACTTTCTTTGCCACAAGACCTTGTGAGTGCACCCAAGCTAAACTATGCCTGTGCTTGTTGTGCAGGACACTGGTGGAAGGATGCATTGCTCCTGTTGATGGAATATGATGGACCGGCTGAGCAGAGCGCATCCATTTCTCCAACAAGGGAGGAGCAAGGCAGGCAGCCCAGCTTGTCTAGAGGCAACAGGACATGTGGAGCAGGGGTCCTGGAACCCATTCCAAGCATGCAGGACACCAGGACCACACATGAGCTCAACTTCAACTTTTAATACATGTTCCATTGCCCCATCAAATTTTACTCACAGGAGACAAATTCATAGACAAAATTAAGATGGTGATCACCAAATATTAATCCCTAAGCCTAAAATCCTTTAGAGCATAATGTCCTATGGACTTTTCTTAATAAATCCATTCCTGATCACATAGATTGGTCTTAAGTTGTGATGTGTCAAGTTTACCCCCAAACAAAAAAAACCTTGACTAGAATAAGAAATAAGAATAACACTATATATGGCATGTAAGAATAAAATATAATAGAAATGATATACACAGAATGGTTTAAAAAACTTGTGGGATAGAATTAACATACAAGAATTTTTCCATACATTTCTGAAGTCCTTTAGAATAAGTCAAAATAACTGGCTATGTTGTGACACCTGGCTTACGTTTCATTCAGACAATGAATTGACTGAAAGATTTCTGGCAGCTCTGAGAAAAGGGAAAGCCAGAAATGTACACGTTCTGCCTTTAGCAGAATTGCCTTGTGATATGTTTGATCTTCTCTGTTAATGTAATAGGTAAACACATTCAAGTAAACCTGAATATAACTATTTTAAAAAATGAATTATCAGTGGTTCAAAAGGGAAGAGTTAATGATTATTAAGGGATTACGGTACAATCTCACTGCCATGGGGCTGATGTTTTATTGCCACTACTCAACCAGTGTAGCAGCTACATGTCGTGGGTCGTGAGACTGGCTGTGATCTCGGAGGTCTGCCATTCCAAACCAGCAGCTGCTCCGCGGCAGAAGCGCCGGGCTTTCCTTCTGGTCACTGTCTGAGAAACTCCCAGGGACCGGTGGACCCTGTCATGGATGGGTGTGGTGGGCTATGGGTAGGCAGCGACTCGGTGGCAGTGTGTTTGGGATGGAAGCACAGATGACTTGAATAGTGCTCCAAACACATTATGTCTTATTAGTTAATCTTCTCTCCAAAATCCTGGATGTCAATTCGTCTCATCTTATTCAATGTGTGGAGCCGATGACGTTTTAAGATCGTAGATACTGATATTGAAATTAAAGAATGATATTCTGGCCATTGCACCTGATAAACCTTGGAGTCCGTTTGCTGAAACCACACTCTCTGAGTGTGGCTACCTGACTTATAATGAGAAGTTTGTATACCGGATAATTTCTCTTCCTGTGATTATTGCTGAGAAATATGTGTGTGTGTATTACGCGATCGAATTGATACCGAAAATCAAATAAATGCTTATTTTGCAGAGCTAGCTCGTTTATTTTTGCAGTTTAAAACTTCATGACCATATGAAAATAAGAGTAGGGCTTTGATTTATTTCATTTTCTGTTATTTAGAAACGTTAACCTAGATTCCTAATTAAGAATAAAAAGTATTAGAGAGAAGATATCTACAGGTTGCTATTTCTAATGTTCTACCAATTTATTTAGCATTTTGGCAGAAGGAGCAGCTAACTTGGTTGAAAGGCACATGAACTGAGATGGGGCGAGCACAAAGAGAAGGCAGAGGGTGTATGTTACAGACACACAGAGTGTATGTAGGGGCAGTGTCCTGAAGGAAACTTCTGACAACAAACGCTTCTGTAGGATTTGGTTGGTGGTTTCCTGTTGAAGCAGCAGCCCACCAGAGGCAGTTTCCAATAGCAACAGTCTTTGTAAACAGCACCTGCCCCACCAGGCATCCATTGACCACCAGCTTGTTTTCAACAATAAAAAGCACTTTTGGTTTCTTAAGCTATAGCTTAAGAACAGTGGCTTGTTAAGGCTTTACCCTAAAACCCAGAGATCCCAATAGATGGAAATGGGGACTGCATTGTATTACACAAAATAAAATCTTTTCTAAGGTGACCAAAATCCCTCAGCACACACACAATACATACATTCAAAATAAAGCTCACTAATTTAGAAGACAGATATTTTATTTACTTTCTCCCTGTTATATTCTCTGGGAGCCTAGTCTGGTACATGACTCCTCATAGGAGGTTTTATATGTCCTTGTTTAAAGAATAATTGAGTATCGATTAATTAGTGGTTCAAACTCTCAAATTTGTCTTTGTGGGAGGTTTCTGTTGTGTGATGAACACTTAGCATCACTTATGATAAATCTAAGTATGTAATCTCTACCAGAAAAGTTAAAAAAAAAGACAATTGTGGTAACTGCAGTAAGTCTAGGCCACTTCAAAACTACTTCTTTTAACGTTTAATTCACATGTTGAATATTAATACATATAGATCAGTCATGTATTTTAGTAAAATCATATTCCTTTTCATAGATATACATGAAATGTGACTTATTTAACTAGCCTCCTATTGAGTGCTGTTGTACAATGAACAGTGTTTTCCAGGCAATGCCATATTGAACCCCCTGGCGCAGGCATCGATGCACACATGTTGTCAGGCGTCTGACAGCAAGTCCAGATCAGAGTTAAGGTGTGATGGTAGAATGAAGCTTCCGAAAGGCCGCCAACATATCCTGCCATTACTGCCCCTGACTTTACATCATGTTTCAATGCTGAAGTCAGCTTCCATGTTTTATATCAACCCTAACTATGACATGCCTGACATTTGAGGCTGGATCAGTGTTTGCTTTGGAAGACTGCCATAGGCCTATGAGACACTCAGCAGTATTGTTACCCTGCATCTGTCAAGGACAGCGCTCCACCCATACACCTGAAGACATTATCAGATGTCCCGTAGGGCGTAAATTCACACTCAGTTTAGAACCACTGAACTATGGGATAGCTTTCACTCCTTAATGAGATTTAAAGGCTTCTTATCTTTGTATCTTGACATTACCCGATTTAATGCTGTGCCCAATTAAAGCCCCAACTCCTTGGTTTATTGCTCTATTGTTAAACAAAAAAAGCTTTGAAGAATTTTCAGATGTGCTACAAAAGTCCCGGTAGGGCCATTTCTGTGCTAGTTATTTGTTACAAAATCATCCTTAGTTACTCATGAACAGAATTCATTTGAATCTGCTGTCCTGACCCTTGTGAATAAGAACTGCCAGACACAAAGTTCAGAATTGTGGAAGCAGAAATACCAGTGGGTAGAGGACGGCAAAGTAACTCAGGAAAACAAATGGATGTGTTTTCTTGACTATCCGAAAGGCAAGCCTTTCTCCACTTAACAAAGCCCTACCTC